AATTCAAAAAAATATCGAAGAAACTCAAATTGTTGAAAGGATCTGAACGAAAGACTTTAGTTTCAAACATTATTAATCGTTTTAGTAAAAGAGGAAAATTGAAGAACAATTTTCCTCAAAAATGTTTAGACAAAAAGGAAAAGTCACTTTAAAAAGGCAACAAGTTTTTTTTACAAAACAGAGATAAAAATTTTCTGAGAAAATTGTAATTGAAGCTTTCTTAAATTTTCTGTAGTATATTCCACTACGAGGCTAAAAAAAGCACTGTAACGTTCTTTGTCGACTCCCTAGTTTTTTCGCGGATACGAGCGAGTATAGCTTGTTTGTCCAGATTCCTGTGAGCGGATTTTGCAAAAGTAGGTGGCTTTCTCGGATTGTGCTCAAATGTTGCGGTTCCGCTGATAACTTGAGTTTTCCACTTACAATTTGCGGATTCCGCGACCGCGTTTTGTTACTATGCACCTATATAATTTGTTTCCAGTAGATCTACAAACTGCTCCGAATTCCTCAAAATTTGTTTTCAGCCTAATGCCGAAACTGCTCTAATTCACAAAATACACAGTTTGACCTCGTAGTATTCAAATCAAGACTAAAAAGGCTTCAATTTGATGAAATTACTGGACACATTCGGGTGATTACTTGCAATACTTGATTTTGCCTGAAAAAACACTCAAAGAAAAATTTTTTTCTAATTTTAAATCGTCGGAATAAAAAAGGATGTTGTTTGAAAAATGTTATACTATTTGTACCGAACTGTTGGCCTCAAAAATATTTTTAATTTTACACAGCTAAACAACTAATCAATTTTCGAAAAATTTGAGCGGAAGAAATAACTTATGTACAGTTGAGCTCAAGAAAAAAGCTCATGTATGACAGTTGTTGAACCACAATAAATCACTTTGAAGCTCTTTGAATTTCAAATATTGTTTTTGATTGGCAATTTCGTACGTAAAATTATCTTATTTTGAGAAAACTGGATCGATAGTATTTTTTTCCGATGGAGTTTTAGAAAAAAAGTTCATTCTTGCGACTAGATTTTTTGTGAGTTTTTCTCGTTTGCTGTCGATTAGCAAAATAAACCAAATGATCTTAGTCAAAAAAACACAGAAAAATAGGTTGGAATTGTATTCAGATTAAAAGCTTTTATTGTTTACGGGTGATCAAACAAAGCAAACATATGATTGATGACCAGTAAACTCTTTGGTAAACTCAGCAAAACTCAGTAAACTCAGCAAAACTTGCTTCGGCATAACAAAAAAGATTTTGGCTTGCGCATTTTAATTCAGCACCAGGTTGGAAAGTTTTTTTTTTCAGGAAATCAAGCAGTTTTTGGGATCAAGGTATCATTCTCTTTTTAAAAATTTCCACAAGATCAAGTATTTTTATTGGGATCAAGTTAACATATTCCTTAAAAAAATTGTCTGAATAGACTGATTTCAGTTGGCTATGCTTGAATAAAATTTTTTTGAACTTAAAACTGGGGACTAAAAAATTTAGCTTGAATTGATTATCCAAAAACTGTCATTTTAAAGACTTTTCAAGTGTCTGATAATGTTTTGGCAACCAAAAGATAAAACTCTGAAAACAAAAACAAAAATAGAAAATTTGCCCTCTATATTGTAATAAGAAGTTCAATTTTAAGCTCTCTATTATTGTTTTTAATTGTTTTTTCTTAAATTTAAGTTATATTAAGATTGTTATCAGAAATTTCTGACAGCATGAGCTAGCTTAAATTCCGAAAGGTTGAGAGAAATCAAAAAAAAAAATTGTTCAGAGTCGATGAGTAAAAAACAATTCTGTGAACGGTTGGCTAAATTTCAGGCTGACATTTTCTAGAAAATGCTATTTTAATTATTTTTGTGAAATTTGCAAAAAAAATTACTGAAAGAAAAAATTTTTTGGAATGTGAGGCAGGACAGATAGGGCTTAGTTGAAACAAAAATGCGCAATTTTTTGTTCCAACCAATTTCGAAAAAGTAACAAAGGATCAATTATCAGTTTTTTTCTTATGATTTTTCATTAACAGAAAAACCGCTATAAAGTCAAGCGCAGTACATACTGCAACAAAAGCAAAAAATTGTCTGCGACTTTTTGCAAATTTCATCAAACATGATATTTCGCATATTTTTCTTATGAACTTTTACTTAAAGATTTTATCATGCTCTGTTGTTTTGCTTCAAAAAAATATTGAAGCTTTCCATTCTTTCATCGGTTAATTGCAGGTATCTTTTTTCAACTTTATACAATTTTTTAGACATATTTCATGGACTTCAGAAAAACTTTCATATTCAATTTTTCTAGGCAACCAATTGTCTCTCAGGTGATTTTTCTGTGACACGTTGCAGAAATACTTCTCTTGCAGTGACTAGCATCTGAAGAATTTTACAAACCCAAGTATGAAAGTTATGTTTGTGAAGAAAAATCAAAAATGTTATCTGGAACTTGATTCGCTTAGCATAGCCCAGACTGGTTTTTAACTTTACAAATGACAAATTTTACCACTTCAAGCATGAATGTTACGTTTGTGAATAACGATCAAAAATGTTATCTGGAATTTGATGCGCTAAGCACAGCCAACAGACGGGCTTCTAAAGGACCAATTAACCTACGGAAATCAATTTATCAGGAAAGGATTTGAATTTAGAATTTTTAAAAAAATTTTCAATCTAACTTATTCCTTCACAACTTGATTTTCCGAAATTGTATTTAACGTTCGCATCACTTGATTTTTAATTTTTGAAAAAAAGTTCATAAAAAGATTTAAAAACTTTTAGTGGTAAAGCAATTAGACACAATTTTAACCTGAATTTAAATTGGAACAAAACTGGCAGAGAGAAAACCAAAAGAAAAAGAGAAGCTGATTGTTGTGCATGTATCACAGAAATTTCAAACAATTTTGCTTTTTTTTGTTTTTGATATAACAGTAGAATTCAAATTAAAGTCTAAATTTGGGACAGTAAATAAAATAGGTACTGTTGACAACAATTTTATTAGATGAAATAATTCAAAAAAATATCGAAGAAACTCAAATTGTTGTTGAAAGGATCTGAACGAAAGACTTTAGTTTCAAACATTATTAATCGTTTTAGTAAAAGAGGAAAATTGAAGAACAATTTTCCTCAAAAATGTTTAGACAAAAAGGAAAAGTCACTTTAAAAAGGCAACAAGTTTTTTTTACAAAACAGAGCTAAAAATGTTCTGAGAAAATTGTAATTGAAGTTTTCTTAAATTTTCTGTAGTATATTCCACTACGAGGCTAAAAAAAGCACTGTAACGTTCTTTGTCGACTCCCTAGTTTTTTCGCGGATACGAGCGAGTATAGCTTGTTTGTCCAGATTCCTGTGAGCGGATTTTGCAAAAGTAGGTGGCTTTCTCGGATTGTGCTCAAATGTTGCGGTTCCGCTGATAACTTGAGTTTTCCACTTACAATTTGCGGATTCCGCGACCGCGTTTTGTTACTATGCACCTATATAATTTGTTTCCAGTAGATCTACAAACTGCTCCGAATTCCTCAAAATTTGTTTTCAGCCTAATGCCGAAACTGCTCTAATTCACAAAATACACAGTTTGACCTCGTAGTATTCAAATCAAGACTAAAAAGGCTTCAATTTGATGAAATTATTGGACACATTCGGGTGATTACTTGCAATACTTGATTTTGCCTGAAAAAACACTCAAAGAAAAATTTATTTCTAATTTTAAATCGTCGGAATAAAAAAGGATGTTGTTTGAAAAATGTTATACTATTTGTACCGAACTGTTGGCCTCAAAAATATTTTTAATTTTACACAGCTAAACAACTAATCAATTTTCGAAAAATTTGAGCGGAAGAAATAACTTATGTACAGTTGAGCTCAAGAAAAAAAGCTCATGTATGACAGTTGTTGAACCACAATAAATCACTTTGAAGCTCTTTGAATTTCAAATATTGTTTATGATTGGCAATTTCGTACGTAAAATTATCTTATTTTGAGAAAACTGGATCGATAGTATTTTTTTCCGATGGAATTTTAGAAAAAAAGTTCATTCTTGCGACTAGAATTTTTGTGAGTTTTTCTCGTTTGCTGTCGATTAGCAAAATAAACCAAATGATCTTAGTCAAAAAACACAGAAAAATAGGTTGGAATTGTATTCAGATTAAAAGCTTTTATTGTTTACGGGTGATCAAACAAAGCAAACATATGATTGATGACCAGTAAACTCTTTGGTAAACTCAGCAAAACTCAGTAAACTCAGCGAAACTTGCTTCGGCATAACAAAAATGATTTTGGCTTGCGCATTTTAATTCAGCACCAGGTTGGAAAGATTTTTTTCAGGAAATCAAGCAGTTTTTGGGATCAAGGTATCATTCTCTTTTAAAAAAATTTCCACGAGATCAAGTATTTTTATTGGGATCAAGTTAACATATTCCTTAAAAAAATTGTCTGAATGGACTGATTTCAGTTGGCTACGCTTGAATAATATTTTTTTGAACTTAGAACAAATTTCACTCAAAAAATTGTTCTAAGTTTGTTCTACACAAATGTTAATTATAAAAACGAGTTATCACAAACTCGGTTTTTCCCAGGCAATAAATTTTATGAACTACAGTTTCCGAAGCTTCGTAGAAACTTTCTAATATCTATATATTAGTTTTCCAAAGAAACCATTTATACAGCGTAGCCATTTCATTTCAATAAAAATGTTTGTATCCAAATAACAATACAACCCATTCAGATTTTATCTAAATGCCGTTTTGAACTCCCCTTCTCATAGAAATATCAAAGGTTTCTTCTCAATTGATTCAGAAGAATGGAGAAAAGAAAGTTTAAACTGCCCGTCGCTTCATTAGCATATGGATCAAAACAAAGTTCATCAAAAATTGATATCATCTGAATTTTTGCCAAACAATAGACAAAAAACTATCAAATAATTGATCATCTACCAATTCCCGGCAATAAATTTTTTATCAGTTTTATTGAAACAGCCGTCGTAATGCTTTCTTCAATATTTATCATTATTATAACAATAAAATGAGCTTGCAGAAATGAAATTCTACCATTTTTTACCAACTTTCCTCAAAATTATTGTTTTCTTGGTCAAAATTATCGAAAATCAGTCGTGTATATCTAATTTGCAGCTCTGTGAGTTGACCTTGCCGTTAAATCAAATTAATCATGCAGTAATTGCGACCAGATCTGGTTTAAGCCAATCGGAGTGTCTTCAGAAAATGGAGACATTTGATTGGTCAGCTGGTGTTTACTGCAAAAACAGTCAGTTTTGCGGCCTGGGCTTAGATCTGGACCCAAATTACAAAAAAATGAAGATTCTTGGAAAAATTGAGCCTGTGTCAGAGCTTTGTAAAGTGTTCCTATCACGTGACACATTCCATTGTAGCGATTTTAAGAATAAACTCATCGAAATCGGAATATTGAGACGTTAGTTTTTTATCTTTCTAAGACGGGTTAAATCTCTGCTTACGTGTTAGTAGCAAGAAATATGTCGCGCATTTGTTGTCCCAAACTGGCAATCTTTAAACCCCCATTACTGTACAAAAATAATCACAGGGGGAATATTTTTTTTAAATTTGAGCTCAGGACAACAATACCTTATGAATGATATAATAAAGTTTTTTTTTTCAAAAAGTGATAGTTAAATAGTCGAAATTTGTCTGGAGAAAAAAATAAAACGGCACAAAAATCAGGGCAAAGCCTTACAAATTCCGAGTTCAATTAAAGGCCAATGTTAAAGTTATTGTCTGAAAAACTGTTGAGAAAAAACTTTCACGAATTAATTACCCCAAATTTGCCGCATTAGCATCTTTCAAACAATTTTTCGAGTATTCACAGTTATTCACAGGTGAAATTTTTTTTGAAACATTGAGCTTGTGACAACAATAGTTTTTATATGGCTCACAAACAGATGATTCTCACTTTTCGAGTATTCAAAAATTTTCACAGGTGGAATTTTTTGAAACATTGAGCCAATGACAACAATTTTTTTTAGATAGTATAAAAAATCAATTTTAAAAAGGCTTAGCAAAAAGTTGAAAAATGGCCAAATAAAAACCACTCCAAGCATAAATACTCCAAACTTTCTTAATAATTGGAACAATAATAACTCGCAGCGCAAGTTGACAATTCAGTTTAAACATTAAAAAACTCAATTTGCTTAGATAAAATATTGAAGATAGGAAAAGAGTAATGAACGCAAGTAAACATAAAAAACACTTTCTTGAAAAAAAAATTATGTTCGGAATTTTTTTTTATTTGACATACAATGGAAATAAGTTCAAACAAGTCTCTAAATGTCTTAACAATCAAATAAACTCTTTAAATAATTAAATTCTTTTCCGTGAGCATTCATTTGTTTAGTGAACCTTCCATAAATGCTGAAAAACTATCGCTAATAAAGATTGATCGAAGATTGGAAAAGAGTAATGAACGCAAGTAAACATTAAAAAACCCTTACTTCGTTGAAAAAATCTCATCTTTCGAATTTCAAAGAAAAAACATGACGCTTTTTAAGCTTTTGGAATTTCTAAAACAAATTCTGATTGGCACTTTTTTGATAACCTGAACCTAACTAGAGAAAACTGGATCAATTTGTAAAGTTTTCATTCCGCTGGAGATTTTAAAATTAAATTCCACTTTCGAAACTAGATATTGTTCACGTTTTTTTTTGCGCTCGTATTTGGAAAGTGCCATTTACGTCACTTTCAGCAGATGGATTTCAATTGAACTCAAAAATTGCAAATATACCTACGTACATTTATAAATGCATCAATATGTATGAATGTACATCTATAATTATTAGAGACATTTAAGACTATTCCTGAAAAAAAATCAGCAAGACCTATATATGAGTCTTCACCACGTTCATTAATCTCAAACATGGCCGATAGATAGTTGAAAAAGAGTCCATGAATGTATGAAAAAAGAAAAATGTGGCTTAATTTAAAAAAAACTTCATTTTACAAATTTCAAAAAGTTTTCCTTAAACTATTTTAACTTTTTTGGAGCTTTTGCAAAACTAGCAATCAATCAGCTTTTTCTAAAACCTTTTGACGGTTTTCAAAATGAAAGCAACCAAAACTGCGCCTGGTCATTTTTCAATAGCGCATATTTTCTAAAACAGAAAGCCACTGGAACTGTCTCGGACAAGGACATGAATATTGTCGGCGAGAACGGATGACCAAATGTCAGGACGTGACTGGTGGGTTCCAGTGTCTGGGATGTCTACAGGGCACTAAACCGGTACGCTCATTGGACGAAACCAAATGCGAAGGTAATCTAACGGATGCGTAGTAGTTATTAACATAGTTGCCTGGAATTAGACAATTTGTATTTAGAAATGATCTGATTTTAAAAAAAATTAAAAATAAATGAAATGGCATAAATTGTTGGAAATAATTTATTAAGACTGTTACGATTATTCTAACGATAATAATTATAAAAATTATAATAATTTTGATTATGATTATTGTTCTTGTTTTCATAACAGACATTGACGAATGCTCATTGGAATTATGTGGGACTCGTGCTTCTGGTTGTATCAATACAGTTTTCTCCTATGAATGCAGATGTGACAATGGGTTTGAGCACAATTCAGATAATTACAACCCTTCCTGTGAGGGTGAGTCATTCTTCAACAATTCTGATAATGATCTTGAAAACTCACAAACAATAAAACACAATCTAAACTTAAAAGCAGAAATTTTAAAATTATATAGCCAAAAAAATTTAAATCATTTTAATTTTCATGCAGTTTCAAGATATAAATTCATAATTTGTTTATTGACACAAATGAGTGCAAAGAGAATGTATGCGGCAATGAAACCGAGGCTGTTCAATGTGAAAACCTAAATGGGGGATACAATTGCACCTGTCAAGATGGATTTTATTTCTCGAACGACATTTACGGAAAAGGATGTGAAGGGGAAGTTGGTAAGACTATCAAACAAAAAAATAGAGCTTCTCGATGACAACGACCACAACTTTTTGACAAGCAAAAGGGTTTTTGGTAACAGGTTTTTTTGTCTATTGCCTCTAAGTTTTAAAAGTGCGTTTTTTGATGGATGCCTATATAAACTTTTTTTTGACATAACATAATACTTTTTGGTTCGTTTTTATAAAAAACCGGGTTGTCAAAATCGTGTTTCTATGGTGTTTTATTTAAGAGCGCTCAGAAACTCAATTTGGCGAAACAAAAAACGAAGTAGAAATTTTCCAATTTTTTTGAAAATCCGCCTCCCCCATAAAATCCTAGATCCGCTCCTGGTAGTATATCAACTTTTATTATAAGTATCAGGTGGACTATCAAGTACAAGTTTGCTCATGTTTTTTATTTAAAATCAAAACCAAAATTTCATCTTTTTTCAGCTACATTGTACATGTGGGGTTCACTCTACAACACAACAACTGTAAATAACTCCACAGATATAATCCAAACTGAAACCAGAGACTGCCAAAATACAATTGGAACATCTGTTGACCCGTCACATTGCTCCGGAGCCCAAAACAGTCGTAATGTGTTACGACTTAAACGCATTTACACCGAAATGTACTGGTATGATGCTAAAATGCACTGTGAAGAAATCGGCGGGGCGATGTTTGGAAATTATGATGGAACAAATGATCAAGTTGAGATGCTTTTTGAGAATACTTCATGGACTTCAATCTGGCTGGGTATATCAGGTGAAACACAAATCGCTAACGCTCGCCACTTTTTGCTGGCCATTTTCAAAAGTTTCAAATTTTAAAAAACTTATGATTTGGTTATGAACAAGTTCATTAGTTTATATGTTAATTTATTTATGAAAAAAAAAAGGATCACACTCATTTTTATTATAAATGCAGTTTCTATGAAAAAAGAAGCAATTTAAGAAAAGTAATTCAATTGTAGAAAAGTGTAGAATATTTCATAGAGAAAAAAGCTGGAACAGAAATCTTTTATGAAGATGTAATTCAAGCTGGTCTCGAAGAAAATTAGTTGGATGCCGAGTCAGCAAAAAAGTTTTTTTTTGGACTTTTCCGTGAACTGTTTATCGAGAAAACATGTTTTTAAAGCGTTTTCATCGGCTCATATACGCGCTAGGCATAAACCTTCGGGTGCTGAGAAAAAAAGTATTTAACACTTGTTTCTTAGGTGAGAGTGGACAAGTAGGATGGAAAACAGAGCAGGGCAAGGAGATGACGCAATTTCTGCAACCCAATTGGGATAATGGCTACCCAAGTTCAAACATGAATTATCACAGGATTGTTCGGTTAGGAAGAGATAATTTGATTAAAGATGGCAGTGGAAGCAATACTGTGCGAAACTTTATTTGTGATTTGACAGAAAAGCCCACTGGCTTATTGTAGCCTTCTCACTAATCATAGATCTTGGAAGTTTCTTGCGTTAAACTTATAGCAGTAGATAAATTTTCATTTTAGAGTGACTTCAAATTTCCATCTAGTACTACTGATAGAGTGACAAATAAATCAGTTTTAATTTCTTAGTGTGTTATAAATAATAATTTACCAAAAAGCTTATGACATTTATAGCAGTATATATTGATCTTTTTGGAGCGACTTTATATATTGATCTTTTTGGAGCGACTTTACATTTTCATTCAGTATTCATGCAGTGACAACAAATGAATCAACTTCAATTTGTTAGTGCGTTTAAATAGTAATTCATTAAACAAAATAAGACATTTATAGCTTTATATAATGTTCATTTTGGCTTTACTTCAATTTTTTTTAAATATTCATGCGGTGAAATCCAATGCATCACTTCAAACTTGTTAGTGTGTTATAAACAAAAGATTATCAAAAACAATGGATTATCTTATAGCAGTCTGTAGTTTTCTATTTTGAGTGAGTTTAAAATTCCATATAGTGTTCATGCAGTGAAAACAAATGAATCATTTTTCATTTGTTTGTGTTTTTAATAAAAGTTTACCTAGAAAGTTATAACACTTATAGCAGTATATACACTTTTTTTCATTTTTTAATTTTTGAGTGACTTTATAGTTCCATTCAGTATTCAAGCAGCGAAAAAAAAATAAATTTTAAATTGTTGGTGTGTTTTTAATAAAAGTTTACCAAAAAAAACTATAAAACTTATAGGAATGTATATAGTTTTTTATTTTTGTTTTTGAGTGACTTTAAATTTCTATGTTTTTTTCATGCAGTCACAAAGAAAAGATTCAATTTTTATTTCTAAGTGTGTTATAATTAAAAATTCACCACAAAAAACATGACACTGATAGCAAACTATTTTTTTAGAGTAACTTTAAATTTCCATTTTGTATTCAAGCAGTGACACCAAACGAATCAGTTTTAATTTGTTTGTGTATTTAACAAGAGTTTACCTAAGAAAAGTTACAACAATTATAGCAGTATATATACGTTTTTTCATTATTGAGTGACTCTAATTTCACACTTAATATTCAAGCAGTGACAACAATTGAAAAAGTTTTTTTAATTTGTTGGTGCGTTTTTATTTTAAAAACACTATAAAAAATGTAGCAGTATATAGATTTTTTCATGTTTTGAGTGACTTCAAATTTCTATGTAATAATCATGCAGTGACAAAGAAAAAGAATCAACTTTGATTCGTTAAGAAGTTATAAAGAAAATTTTACCTCGAACATTATGACACAGATAGCAGTCTATTTTTCATTTTAGAGTGACTTTAAATTTCCATTTAGTGCTCAAGCAGTGACAACAAATATGTCAATTTTAATTTGTTTGTGTTTTCAATAAGAGCTTACATTTAAAAAAACTTATACCAGTTATAGCAGTATATATACATTTTCCATTTTTTCATTTTTGAATGACTTTAAAGTTCCTTTTAGCATTCATGCAGGTAAAATAAATGAATCAGTTGGTGTGTTAGAAAGTTTACCAAATGAAATTATGACAGTTATAGCAGTATATATCTTTTATATTCATTTTAGGGTGGCTTCAAAAATTCTTGTAGTATTCAAGCAAAGACAAGAAATTAATTAAATTTAATTTGTATTTTTGTTATAAGCAAAAGTTTAACAAAAAATGACACTTAAAGCAGTATTTAATTTTAATTTTAGAGTAGCTTCAAATTTCTATTTAGTGTTCATAGAGTGACAACAAATGAATCATTTTTATTTTTTAGTATGTTTTAAAGAAGTTTATCAAAAAATTATGACCCTTATAGCAGTCTTTTTTTTTAGAGTGACTTTAAATTTCCCTTTAGTATTCATGCAGTGACAACAAATGAACCAGTTTTAATTTGTTTGTGCGTTTTTAATAAAAGTTTACCAAAACAATTATAAAACTTGTTGCAGAATATATTTTTTTCATAGCCAAAACTATATTGACACAGCAGTTGCTTGAAAATTTCAAAATGATCTTGATTCTTTCTCAATTTTGGTCGAATTGAGACAGAAAGCAACAATTTTAAGCGCCGCAGGCAAGTTTCAGAAAAAACAAGCCAAAAACGCGTTTTTAGACACGTTTTGGAATATTTTGACTAAGAAAATTGCGTTTTTCCGGCGCTTCTCTTCTCCTCCCCTCGAACTTCGTTTATTTTGGCGTTGAAAGTTGTAGCTCAGTCAGCCGAAAATGGCCATTTTAAAATAAGAGAAAAAAGGGCCGCCCACCAGCCCCATTCTTAAATCCAATACTGACGAGAACCACAAGCATCTTAATGTCACTATGAACTTCATAAACGTATCTTTTAAAATTTTGAAAAAAAAACTATATATTATTACCCAGAATGGCAATTATTTCTTCCAAAGTTTTTTTCTGAAATTTTTTTTTGCAATTTGCAAACGCAGAGATTAGGATAGTTTTTGTTTTATCAGCACAGATTTTGGATTTACGATTTTGTTTCAATTCCATTTTGAATGATATTTGAGTCGGATAATTTTTGCAAAAAAGTCATAAAGGAACAAAATTCTAGCAATGAAGTTGAAGGAATAAATACCTTCTTGACAGTTTAAAAAATTGTCGTCAAATTTTTTAGTGAAAAAGTCACAAAAATCAACCGCAAACAATCCGTTAGTTTTTGGAAGCTCAAATCAACAATTCGCATACAAAATCAAAAATATGACCAATAACGCTACGCTAATGGGAAAAACTGAATGAGTGAAACTTTGAGTGTGCAAAATTTCTTAGAGCCGCACACCAATTATGAACCTACAAATTTTCTAAGTGACGCAAGCCACTTCTGACGCATTGGCAGTACCAGTCAATATGAAAAAAAATACCAACTAACACGCCTCAATTTATAAAGTGGACGCATTTTAACTAGTGCACAAAAAAGATCATTAAAAGCATCTGCCAAGGTTCGAACCACTTTATTTTGTTGCGGATCTCCTTCCCTATCGCTACATATCCATGATACCTTGAAGCTAAAATGATATTTGTAATATAATAGTCTGTGTTAACATCCTTAGATTTGGATTTACTTAATAGCTGGTTATGGACCAAAGTGAACACTTTCAAATTGAACACATTTTGTCGCAACAGTATTTGCGTCGCAATAAAATTTGCGATTTAGGTTTGAAAAAAAGAGAGTTCATACTATAACACAAGCTTTGCTTGCGTAAAAAAGACAAACAAACCATTAAAAATTTTTGTAACTTTTTATTATGTCAACAAAGAGTATATTCCATAATTCTCGTTCATAAATATACGTTTACATGGTCAGACTATTGGGACCAAAATTTAACCTCATCAGAACTTAGGAAAAAAAAATTAAATGCAATCATTGAAAAACTCTTGTACTCCAACAAATTACACAGGGAAGGGCAAAAAGTTTGCAATTTTGGGCTTTCGAAATAGACAGCTAGTCGTCGGAAGGTTCGGTTCTATAAATCGATTTTCTCATCCTGGGTGGTTAGGAAATTAGAAACATTTCACGCCCTTATCATCCGAAATGAATCATTTTCAAAAACGCTCGCGTTCACGAAAAACGGTTGTGAAAGAAGTTTTCCTTATTTTTGTGTCATTCCGGTGGTCTAAAGTCATCAGTCAATTCATGCTATAGACAAAGTTTATAAAAAAACAAATCAAAAAAAGAAATAGAAAATACTTAACTTTATAGATTATGAAAAAGTGATGATCGTTTCCATAAAATGGAAATGTAAACAACTTTCTAGTTTGCTAAATTTTTGTCAATGGATCCAAACACAATATTAAATTGATTGTTTTATCAAAAGCTGATGAAACTCATAATTTAAACTATTTGTTTTTCAGTCGACTTATCAGCCGTATCTCTGCCTCACTAGATACTTACAGGGTGTCATGTCAAATTGGCAATGAAATAAAGGTAACAACTTCCATCTTTTTTTTTCGGAATTGGAAAACTGTCAAACGTGCTTTCTTCAAACAAATCTATTATTTCAATTTGATGTGAAGTCGCAATTTTTCACCACCGAATTTTAGACACTACCTATTGTTCCTGAGTTAACTCCAAAACTGAGCTTTGCCAAGGTAAACACTGCTTAGTTTTTACAGAACTTCTTTGGAAAAATTGGAAACTAGAATTGAGGGGAGGGGGGCTTGCATGAAAAATCAATCAGTTTTTGGTTATAAAATCTGCTTTTTCGAACAGTAATTTCCGAAACAAAAAATTGATTTTTTTTCAATAAAAATTCTAGTTATACGTATTTAGCGGGTGGACTAATTGATTGACTACTTTGGTAGATATAATCAAGGCACTAAGGATGAAAAACAGTTAAGAAGAGCTGCATTTAAATCAAAAGTTTCGCGAAAAAAGGAATTAGAAAAAACCGTTATTGTTAAAAGTTTTTTATAAAAAATTTTAATATTTTTAAAAATTATTTCACCCTTCTCTCACGAAAAGCAAAAAAGTGAATATTTCGCAATATCAGAAGTATTATTTGAGTTTAAAGTCGGATGTTTGTGTTGCATTATCAATATATATATAAAGTTGGTAAAAATGACTTTTGAAGACAATCACTTAAAACACCACTCAGCTCAGATGGAACAAAAAGAAATGAATATTTGATAATAGCCAAGCAGCGCTGCGCTTAAAAATTCAGCTGTCCCCCTTTTTTCAACATTTCTCAATGCAAGAAGAGTTTCCAACGTAAGAGTTTCAGCGCCACCAAATCAAACAGACAACAACTTAGATGGAATAAAAAGAGGAAAATTTGATAATTTCGAAGCATTTTATGTCCTTTTATTTATTAATATTAAGGCAGCTGATATAACTTCTTGGAGAGACATAACTCATAAGTCTGTTTTCAGTTTGATTTGCATAAAATGCAAGCAGCAATTTGGCTCACGAATCATCTGGCAGCTGTATTTTTTATGGTCCAAAAAACGTTTGGGCAAACTTGCTCAGGTGATTTGATTGCTTGTGAGTTCCAACTGCCTTTGAACTCAATTGTTCACGCTGTTGTTTCACCAACCTCTGGAATAAGCCAATTGGAATGTGTGCAAAAAATGCAGCAATTTCTTTGGCCAGTCGGAATTTATTGTGAGTCTAGTCGCTTCTGCGGACTTGGATTAGATACTAAAATTGACTTCGCATTGTTTAAATCACTCGTCAAAATTGAACCGGTTTCTGACATATGCCAAGTGTTTACTCGACTTAATAAAATCCAATGCGAGGATCTGATGACAATTCTTCTGAATAATGGAATAGTGAAACGTGAGTCATAGTATCTTCCGTAGTCAGGGGGGGGGGGGGGTTGATTTACTTGCTTTGATGTTATAGATGTTGATCCGATCAATTTAGAAATTGAATTTTTTGCGAAAGACTTACGAATATTTTGGACAATCATGAAAGTTCAAAATAATACAAAAATGAAAAAAAATATATTTAAATCTGGGAAGCATTATTCTGCAACTCTGATTTTATCAATCGAATCAGAGAGAGAACTTCACGTGAAAAATTAAATCAGACAAAAAATTTGAGAGAATTTATTTGCTTTTATTTATGTATGAAAGTCAATCACTGGAACTGTTTGGCGCATGGGTTTGAGTTCTGTCGACAAGAAAGATTGGCCAATTGTTTCGACGTGTTTGGTGGATTTCAGTGCAAGGAATGCCTTCAAGGGGCTCGTCAACTGCAAATTTCCGACAACACAAAATGTCAAGGTTAAGCGTACTAAGAAATCATTACCAAAAAAAAATTACATGAAATTCTTGAAACCGTCGAAGCGGTTTTGAATACCAGGATTCGACAAACAAAAAACTAGGATTTAAAATAAAAGTGACAGAATCTTGTTAAACGACGGTACATTTCTGATTTTGACTAATCAATCAAATGCTGTTTTGTCGGAAAAAATTATGATGCCAAAACTTTTCACAAAAGTTGTCACAACTGTTTCAATTAGTTTGGAAGCGGGTTGATTTTATTTCGACCCCGACAAAAATGTTCCCACGGAAAAAAAAAGTTAAAAAAACTTGAATTTTAAGTTTAATTTTAGACATCGACGAATGCTCTGTGGACATTTGCGGAGCTGATGTTTTGACGTGCACAAATTCCGAACTGTCATACACATGTACATGCAACACAGGGTTCATCTATAATGCTGTTGTTTACAACTCGTCATGTCAAGGTCAGCTTTTATGTTTTACAAACGTGAACAAAAATTGTTTCATTTAATTGCATGACAATTTTGTCTCATTGTTATTATGAAAACATTCGTTCTTCCTGGAAAAAAAACTTGAACTTGGTTTCGTTCAGACATTGATGAATGTGCAACTGGAGTCTGTGGGGATAAAAATAAAGTACTGCAGTGTGAAAATACTATCGGTGGATACAATTGCACCTGCCGGGAAGGTTATGACTTCTCAGACGATCCATATGGACGAGGTTGCGAAATCGGTTAGCTTTCCGCATTTGCTTTACAGGAAAACTAGTTAAAATAACAAATTAACAAACAAAAACTGAACTTGATGGGTGTTCTATATAGCAGAAGCCATTTATGTGAAATATTTGAGGTTGCATCTAGATAATCGATTGAAAGTTCAAAAGTACATGGGAATTGCCTGCAACAAATTTTCAGAGTTAATAGCATTTTTACACTTTTATATTAAACTTTTAGGCCTCATACAGAGACTGCTTCTATATACCCCATACATTAAAACTAGGCTCTTTTTCCTTCCCCCTCCTCGCTTCTAGAAAATATAAAAAAGTTTTTGCCTGACTGCATACAATGTTCAGGAGATACTTTCGAAGTTTTCTTTTAAGCTATTGAAAGTCAATTGGAAGTTAAAGTCATACTGTTATGAATTTTGAAAGACATATCTGTAAATGTTCTAAGCCTTTTAAACTGCTGTCTGTTTTTTTCGCAATTTTGCAGTAAAATTTTCCTCATCCTCGAAAACTCTGGTTAAGTTAAGCATGGTGCAAAAGTTTTTCAAACTTCATCTTTTTATTTATAAAAAAGTGAAATTTTTCTGGGATATTTTGATGTCATAAACAGATAAGATAAACTACAATCTTATCTTTTTGTTTTTATGAAAATTAACTATTGTTTTGAGCCTATTTTTTTAAGTGTACACTTGGGTGCATCTCTTTAACGCAACTATTGCGAATAATTCAACCGATCTCATCAAAGGGGAATTCCGAGAGTGTCAAATGGCCAATGGAACCATTGTTGACCCATCGAACTGTAAAGAAGCAACAAACATTCGAGTATACCTCCATCATAAACGCATTCACTCTGAAATGACATGGAGAGACGGAGCAAAACACTGCGAGAACATGGGAGGAGTTATGTTCGGGAATTATAATGGAACCCAAGAGCAAGTCGACGAGTTATTTGAATTTATGGCTACAAATTTCCTCTATCTTGGAATAAAAAGTCTGTTTCAATTTCTCGATTTTAGTGCTTATATAATGTAGATATATTTTAAAACTATAAAAAGAATATTAGGTAGATGTTTTGGCAACGAAAATAATTTTGATATCTGAGGGATGCACAACTTTTTTTATGATTTAGATCACCGAATGTTTAAAATAAACAATGATATCTGCAAACATCAATAAAGTTTTTAAAATTCAACGGAGGATTTTTTCCTTTAGAATCTTTTTGCCGACATTTACAAAAAATTACAGCCCTTTTCTTGTGAAATCTAATGCAAAATTGATGCGGCATCCAATTAAAAATCAAACAAACTCGGCTGCAGGTTTTAATTTCTATATTTAAAACTCAATTGGTTTTAAGCATTAAAAAATCACCTACCTTTTTTACTTGTACTTAAAGCAAAAGAGCCGCAGCAAAATTTGAGATGAACACACTTGTTTTGACTATTGGGTTGAGAAATTTTAAACAAGGTATAATCGGACAACGGAAGTGGGAAACCCTTCGTGGAGTCGACGTAACAAGTGCATTAACTCAGTGGGATACAAGTTATCCACGAACAGATATAAACGAGGAAGGGTTAATCAGAGTATCCGACGTGAACAAACTCAGAGATGGATATGGAACGGTTCCACGGAAGTTCATATGTGATCTATCCGCTTGATTTTACTACGATTTGCAATTTACTATTGCTTACAATTTACAAGTCCTGCGTGAGGAAAACAAGGAAAACTTTACAAAAGGAGGAGAATGCAAAAAAGTTTTTATCAAATCAAAGAATTTGTGTATATATTGGATGTATTATGTAAAAAAAACTTGCGCGTGCTTCTGTCTTTTTTTTCAAATAAAGATAAAAACTTTTTTTCAGAAGGCAACTGCTGGTCTCATTAAATTGCAGATTAAGACAGTTTATCCACAAGGGAAAGGACCGACATACGAGCTGTTCAGCTCATCACGGAGAACAGCTGTTGTGCCCCTGCTTAAGATTTACATGCAGTGTTTTTTGTTTTTGGTTATTTTTCTGGGCTGGGTACTGTTGCTTTATCCCCAAGCAACGAGCACGGATCATGGTGGGCCTCGAACATCCGCCCTTTCGATTGAGAGACGGAGACGTAACCACTTAACCACCGCTCCCGATATTTATACCTCCCCAGATTTATATCTCCCCAAATTTATACCAAAGTTATTAAATTTGTACCAATCTCCAAAATTCGCGTTCATGATTGATGAAAGCTATGAGCTTGACAAGTTTGTCACCACGAAGGCAGCTTTTAACTTTTAAATGTTTTTAATTGGGTTTTTGCGGGTCGAGAGAGGTTGCGTTTTAATGAAAGCAGGGGGGATGGGTGATACTGATAGCAGACAATTAGATGGTTAAAAATGTATTTGCACAATTTCTACAAAAGAGATGGCTATGAATGCGAAAGCAAAAAGTACTGCAATTTTTTTTCAAATTGTTTATAAGAAAATTGCTTAGACAAAAAAAATGTCTTTTGAAAAAAGTTCAGCATTTTCCAGACAAACAGTTGTCCGGGAGGTCAGTTTTTCCGCGAAAGTTTTTAAAGGAGAAAGTGCTTCTGTTGTCGAAACTAACTACTTGGGACCTTTGTCGTCCCAGGCATGAATATGAATGCTATGTCTGTCCCAAACGATCAAATTTGGTATCTGGAACTTGATGTGCTATTGTGTTAATGAGCCCACCAAAAAACACTGAAAAAAAAAAACGATTTGCTGAAAACGCGAACTCGCAAGATGTGGTACATTTTGGTAATTGTTTTTTTTTTCATTGTGAGATACTTAGATCTGCAGTCAAAATATTCAAGTTTTCACTGGACAGTTTTACCAGCACAACTCCATTTTTTACTACAAATATAATAAAAATGAGCTAATGTTACTTGAAATATTTATCCCTTGCCACTGAATTCTTGTTTCAAAACTGCGAAAAATTCCAGTAACCATTGAAGGTGAAAATAGTTGACACAAATGTAAGGTGAAGCTAAGGTTACAAAAATTTTACACAGATAAAACGAAAAAAAAAAACAAGGACAACCGTTTGCTGTGCAAGTAGCACAGAATGTTCTGAACATATTTCAAAAAACTACAAACCAGTTTTCTTATTATTTGCCCGTGGTAGGATGAAAGGATCTAAAAACAGACTAGAACTAAGGCACTTTCGATAGCCATAGTGAATCAAGTGTATTGAAAAACGTTTTTTCTCGACACCGAGATTTGTTTTTGGAATTGCGACCGGAAAGGTTTTAAAATAAGATAATACTCGGTCATTGATTTAATTAAATGAGGTACCTGATTTGGCATGAAAAAAAACACACTGGAGACCAAAATTGCTCCCCATTTCAATGATCAGAACAATAAATGATTGTTGTTTAACCACTGTAGTAGCAAAAAACTTGGCCTGTTGGTCCCAACAAATTGTTTGTTAGAGCTGAATTATTGTTTGCACATTTTTTATATATGTACTTTCTCTAAATGAAAAAAGCCTTGTGAAATATTACTTGATTTTTACCATTTGTTCCTGTGGCCAAAATGATAACGCAAATTGGTAGCTTGTGACTACAAAGTTTCATCGTGACTTTAAATTTAACAAAAGATTTCATATCACCTAATTTTATAAACAGAGTCGTGAAATTAAATACTTGAATTGAAGACGTGATTTAGAGGTGTAAAACGTACAATTTTCTGCTAACTTACTGAAAAAAATATTTATATATACATTTAAATACTTGAGTTCAGAATTCAGCTTGGCTAATAAACAAGAATAATTACCAAACATTTTGTTGTTGCACTGGAAGCTGTTGTCTGTACGACATATGCATTAAGCTTCATTGCGGTTCGATTTTTGAAAAGCCCAAAACTTGAGACTTCCTCAAATATTATTGTAGACATAGAAAAATGCAATATTTTTTCGATCGATTTTCGACTTCAAAATAGATTAATTCTTTTCTTAATGCCGCCACTCAAAAATGTCACGATAACGTCTATAAAGTTTCAAGCAAAAAAATCAAGCTTTTGTTGAATGTTTGGAAAAAAAAACTTCACAAAATGCGGAAAAAGAACAAACAGCATTGACAAAACACCTTTCATTGCTTTGAACTGTTTTTTTTTGTAGAAAAAAAAACAGTTCTAGCATTCAACTTAAAATGATTTTCCAAAACTAGCAACCAAAATCATGAGCATTACTTTTTGGATTGGATATTTGTCAAAGTGTAGTTGAGCTTCGAAAATGGCCAAGTTCTTATGGACAGGATTTTAAAGTACAATGGAACGTTAGGCGCCTGAAAGTCTGTCTCACCCTTAAACTAAAAAAAACACTGAAAGGGAGTTGCAACTAGTTTACCTAAAAACAATTAAGAAAAAAAAACATTTTTTGTTGTAATGTTCTCTCTCCTTTCAAACAATGCATTGATTTTATATCAATTGATTTTACATTTGTTTTGATAAAAGTTTTTTAAAAAATTTTAAACTTTCTTTTTCTGAATTTGTTTTTGCAATTTTTAAGCTCAAGTTACGTAGCTAAGCAAATTAGATGCAAAAATGGATTTCGACGCTGCAAAGGAGCTGCAAGTTTGCAAGCACAAGCGAGAAAAACTCAAAAAGAAGCTTTAATGTGCCTAAAATCACAAGTTTGTCTCTTAATCCCCATTTTGTCGCTCATGCAGTTTTGCAAGAAAAAACTATCTTCGCATATGAAAAAATGGAATGTAACAAATCAGTTTAAGCATATATTTTGAATCTCAAAATCTTACAAAATGCTTTGAAGTACAATTTTTTTGAAAAAAAAATTTGATTATTTCATTGTTGTCTGAAGCAAATCGTTTTTTGATGTACATTTGATGAAAGAAAAATCATCAACTGTTTTAACTAATTGGTAAATAAATTTCTATGCACACACTGAAAAGTTGCCACTTATCGAAAAAAGTAGCCAACACTAGCACCAACTTTGCGGTTAAAAAAGTAATATGACACTACGCTGAACATGTGTATGAAAAGGATTCGATAGCTCAAACGTGGAGCACTCTCCAATGAAAATGCATGTTCAACTAACAAAGCTATCGATGTGTAGTTCAGCCAACTTCCTATTTTTTTTGCTGAATCATGTTTCACTAACGTTGATTTTAGGAGGTCCTAAATGGAAGTGGAAAAAAAAGCCAGACAAAACAGACAATTGGAAAAGAGTCATGAACGCAAAAAAACTGACTCGTTTTTGAGAAACTTCGAATTACAAGAAAAAAATTATGGCCTCAAAGCTCTTCGAATTTCAAGAAAAATTTATGATTAACACTGTTTTGATATACTCAACCCAATTTGAGAAAACTGAATCAACAAAATACGTTTTTTTGTGACCTTTTAATTTTTGCTTATCGATAGTCTTCCTTTTAACAAAGGAAAACAAATGAACTTGAAAGAAATTGAAAGTCAAACCACCAAAAAATGAAAGGTAAGCGTGAACAAAACAAGACTTTTCGCGAAAAAAAAACAAACAAAAGAACACCAAGACCTATAAAAGAATTTTACATTCATGACTCTTTAGAAAAACTAGTCAGTACAGATGCCATCTAAGAGTGCAATGGAAACGTTTAAGTAATTAAATTCCAGTATTTTGTCATTTTTTTCTACTTTTTCTCCTTAACTAACTATTCTACTAAATACTTGGCTGATTTTTAATTTCAAAACTTTTGTTAGCGCATTAGTTGAAGTTTTCATTATTGCAAATTGCTTGAATTTTCACTATAAAAAACATAGCCTGGTTTCGTAATAGTAATTTGTGAGTTTTCAAGAAGCTATGATGAAGCGGAGTTAGCTTTGTTTCTTCATCTAAACTTTCATTAGGATATCACGCAGCAAAATTAGTGTTCAAAAACTTAATTTAAATGTGAGGCAAGTGGAAAAGTCCACAAAAATGAAGACATGTTTAGCCCAGGAGAGGTATTTGTCTTCATGCATCAAAACATTTATTTTGGTTCAGCCGATTAGAAGGAATACCAAACGCTCCATACACACGCACAAACTTCATAGTATTTATTAATAGTATAATACTAAAAAACTAAGCAAATTTTTAAAACGAAAATGAAACTTAGTACGTTATTTTTTAAGCACTGTCAGAATAAACATTGCGAGAAAACAAAAAGATGGTGAAAAATTATATCAACTCATTTTTTGGGCTGATTACTTAAACAATTGATTCCTAAGAAGCTTATTGACACAATACAAAAAAAATGTTTGTTCCCGAAAGTAGTTTTGCAATTAGCCACATGTGCTGACTGATTTTTTCTCCCACAACATACATAAAAAAACTTAGTTTGTTTAAATTATGGAAAACTCAAAGAAGAGAGAGCTTAGTATATTTCTTCTAGTTTTTCTCACTATTGTATGACAAGCATTCTGAATAAAAGATTTAACTGGGGGTTCACGACCGACCACTATTGTTCAACTGGGAACTGGCGGATAGTGGCGACCAAAGTTTCGACTTTCTCGGTCGAAATGGATTTGATTTGATTTTGTAAGTGACTTAGATTTGCTTCTCGACCGAAGTTAATCAGTGGCAAAAGTGAAACTTGCTTGATTTAAAAAGTAAAAACATGAGTCGAGAAACTCTTCCCGTGGTGAAGCTAGACAATTGAAGTGAAAGAGATCATCTTTTTCTGTTACTTCTTCTTTTCTTGCTCATCAATTTCTTCGCCGTTGTTCTGTTTTTCTTCAGCTTCACTTCAAAAACTAGTGCCAATACTTTTTAAAATTAAAAGCTTTTAATGATACCAGTATTTACGGGTCTGATTAACTATTTCCCCACTATGATATCCAAAAAAACTTCACCTATTGAACTAATTCAACGACTAAGCACACCAGAGTTATCCACCTGTGTAAGGGAATGATAAGGGAATAAGGAGTAGATAGTTCAAAAGATACCGGTTTCATATCTCGTATTTGCAGGGTCAGCTCTTCTGTGAAAGCTATAGCTGTTGAAGCTCTACTCTTGAGATAAAACAACTGGATCTGAATTGGTTAATTTGTCACTATGGTCTCCTCACTTTTGTTCTCTTTTAGATATGTTATGTGACGTCACAGACGTATTAACACAACGACCTTGTGTACAGAAGATCAAACTATCAGTCTTATAACAGCTTAGTTAGTCTCAATTAGATAACTTCCAGGGTAGGTCTCTGGCTGGTTAACTAAAAAACATTACTAACCATAGATTGTGACTCATTCTCTATCTGTGAACTTCGCTTGTGTATCTCCTGCTGGAGTGTCTGGTAGTCCAGCTGTTTCACCTCCAGGGCATGTTTCAGTTGCTTCACCTCCTGGGCCAACATCCCAACCACACTCTGCATCTTCGCCCTCTCCCCCGCCCACTCCTCAACTGACTGCGACACTGTGTTCAGTCTGAAACGAGAACTTGTCTGCTTAGAGATATGTCGGCTTAGATTCCTAAAATTCAATGTTGGCTTCAAAACTCAACAGGTGAATCTTTTTGCAGTCAGTTTTAGTTTAGATGTTTACATTTCGTCTCTTATTTGGGACGCTGTATTCAGAATTCATCCTACTTGATGTGAACATGTCTGCTCAGAGATATGTCGGCTTAAATTCCAATTTTTTAGAAGTTTAAGCATATGATTAAAAAATAGTTCGAGACAGAAGATCAAGAAAAACTAAGTTTCAAGCTTTTTTTTACAGGTAGGCACATGTTTTTGATTTGAAAAAGAAAATTCTCCGTTTTAAAAAAATTTTGGCAGAGATTTCGCGTGCTTTCTGGCAGCTGCAGAGAAACAACCAGCGAGCTTAAGGCACCCGAAGCATCTACTGGCTTAAAAATTAAATCTTGATTTACAAATAACTTAATATCAATTTGAGATGACAAAATCTCGGCATCTTTGTAGCGATGTATCTACTATTCAAGCTAACTTTTTAACCGTGACCAGACATTTCCACCCCAAAAGCAGTCATTTCAGGAACTGACTGTTCTTCGGGCGGAAATGACTGGAGCTAAATAGACTGGGAGTCGTTTTTAAAAGGAATGCTTATTTATTAAAAGAATATAATTTATTTAGTGTTCAAAAATATAATTTTTAAATTTGCTATATGAATATCAAGATTTCTTTCACCTTGCGAAGTATGAGTCATTCCTCTGAAGAACATCTCTCTGAGCACTCATCAGATTAGTCTCTATCCTCTTCACCTGACCTGTCAGATTAGTCACACTTGACTGACCCTGCTCCATCTAAAAAAGAATATATACTCAGTTATAAGTTCGGAACCAAGAAGATACATCCCTACTTTTAAAAAAAGACGAAATAATAACCTGTTCTTCTGCAAATTAAATTGGCTCTTTTTCCTTTTCCCCCCACCTGCAAATTTTTACATGCAAATTTGTTGACCACATTGTCCGATTGTTACAAAAATTTACATACAGACTAATAAGGCCACGACAAACATATTTGGTCTTTATACTGAGCCTCCTAAAACCACTCGTTATACTAATTTATTGAAGCTTGTGTGAGGTGGGAGGGAAAAGGAAAAAGAGCCATTAAATTGAGTTACAAATGAGTATTAAAATGAGTATTATAATTTATGATATAAACTGCATGAGTAATAAAAAGTATAGAAATAACGGGCAGCTACAAAAAGAACCCGAACAATTTTTAATTTGTGTAGTAATTGTTATGTTAATGTTGTTGACATCTAAGATCAATTTTTTGTCAACATCAAACTAAACAGTTAATTAGTTTTTTTAAATATCTACTTCTTAAATATAACATAAAAATTAATACATAAATACCTAAAAATTTTACAAATTTGTGCTGATTTGTTTTATTATTATATTCTTTTGACCATTGGTATTGATTAGATACCAGTCAACCTCCAGCATGAACCAACCAGTGGTCGATCATTCAATGTCCGTGTTAGCTTTATAACCGACATTTTAATTCAAAACATTTCTTATTTGTTAGTTTATTGTTTGATTTTTAGTGAATTCATTCATTCAGGCCAACTCACACAATGGAGCCGCTACATTCCTGGACCCAATGGAGCAACAAATTTCAGTAGGCGATAATCGCAAAAGAGAATCTGGACATCGATAATCTTAGCGGACAAGAGGTCCCAGAAACTCAGATTCTCATTTTGGAACAGGCAACAAGAAGGAATCTGGCCACGATTGAGCAAGTCGGGAAACAAGAAATCAGAACGCGATGAAAATCTACGAAGCCCCGAAGAAAAGCTGGTCATCGAAGACAAGAAAAAATTTAACGGGTTGAGAAAAGCCGAAACCGACAAAAAGTTATGTTCGATCATTCTTTTAGCAGTCAACAATGACAGAACAAGGGTGTTATGACTATTATAACTTGTGATATAAACTGTCGGACTACTAAAAATTATAGAAACAAGGGGGAGCTACAAAAATAACCCGGTCAATTTTTAATTTGTGCAGTATTTTTGATTTTAATGTTGTCATCAAAGATCAGTGTTTTGACATCATAAACTAGGCAAGTTATTTACTTTTTCTTAAAAGTTAATATATAAAAATCTAATGTTTTCTAAAAAAAAATACAAAATATCTTTCCGAATCCGAATAATCTCCAGAATAAAGAGTTTTTGCTAATTGCAATAACGTGGGGATTGCTAAAATGTATCTGATGGATTTGTATAAGTCTGAGAAAACCATTGAAATTCCCGACTTAACCCTTTCCCCCCCAAGTCAAGACAAATTTATTCACAAGGGACAGGACCAACTTACGAGATGTTCAACTCTACACGGAGAGCCGCGGTTATTCCCTGCTCAAGAATTACATGCACTTCTATTGTTTATTTTTCTAGGCTGGGTAATTTTGCCTCACCCTCAAGCAACTAGCACGGATCATGGCGGGCCTCGAACAGCCTACCATTTGACTGAGAGGCGGAGACGTAACCACTTCATCACCACTCTTATAACCGCACCCTTTTATTTATATTTTTAACTAGTACCATCTGTTCTATCTGTTGGATGCGACTGGCCATCTGCTGCACACTCTGGCTGGCACTCCTCACCCCCTGGTCCACCTGGCTCCTCTCAGCCAGCTCTTTGCTGTAGTTCTCCTCCAGTCGTCTCACTGTCACTCTCATCTCATTCTGCAGACGGACCACCTCCTCGAGAACTGTCTTGTTGCTCTGCTCCGCCGCCACTAAACACGCCAAATCTTTCATCAATCATCCCTTAAAGATATTTTTTTTATTATTGAGAAATAAAAAAGGCTATTTAGTTTTTGAAAATGAAACAATCACATTATCAGAACATCATTAAAAATAGCCGACAGACAGTAGGAAAAGAGTCAAAAAAGTAAAAAAAAAACAAAAAGAAAAACTGACTTGTTTTTTTTTTTTGAAAAAACTTCGTCTTCATAATTTCATAGCAAAATATATATGGCTTTACAGCTCTTTGTATTGCAAGAACGTTTTTTAGCTGAAATTTTTTGATAAAATTTACTCAAATTGAGAAAACTGGATCAATAGGTAAAATTTATTTCTTGGGTAATCTGACAATAAAATTTCACTTTCGAAACTAGAAGTTGATCAAGTTTTTGGTGACCTTTACACTTTCATACTTGAAGGGCAAAACTTACCTTAATTTTTAGCAGACGAAATTGAATTGAACTCAAATAGTGCTTACATAGAAGCATCCATTCTAGTTATATATGTTACCTAGAAGCATATATATCCAGAAGAATGGTAAACACAGTGGCTTCGCACAACTTGCGACACGAAACTAAATAGAATATTTTGAAGGTAGACAAATATTCTGTCTCATACGAAAAGTGAAATAAATTAATGAGTTCTATTGAAAAAATTGTTGGCTGAAAATTTGTTTTTTTTTGCGTTTATTATTAAAAACAAATACCTAAGCATAAGTAACTACGACAACGTCTCCAAAAACTACAACTGCATGACCTACATAAAAGTCTGAACTACGTTCGTCATCACTTAATCAGAAACTCAGATCAGTAATTCAGTTATCTTTAATTAAAAAGCCGCAAGTATAGTCAAACAAAAAACACTAACCTATTGAAAATTTTTTTTAAAAAAGTTTAACTATGATTGATGCTCCCCTATAGTATCTGATAGCGATTTGCCATCATTATAAAGAGCTAACTTAGTGGTTAAACATGCGTCACATCTGTACCCAGTAACGAAAGTACCTCATTCATTGCAATTGAGAGGACTAAAAATTGTAAAACAAAACCTTTTTTTTCTCTAACTTATTGCTAGCTAAAACTGTGCAATTTGCTATTCAATTTGCATAGCATCGGATGATGCAAATTTTAAAATTTCTGATTGTTTGAGAAAAACATCAAATTTTATTTTGTTTATGAAAGTTAAGTCGGCTGTAAAGCTGTACAGTTGCTTTTCGAGAGTTTTTGATGCTCTGGGAATTGCTAAAAGTTTATAATGATGATACACCATTTTGTCAATTTTTGAGCATTGTGTTAAACTGATATCCAACTAATCGGTGCTGCGTTAACTCGGGCGGACACAACTTGGCCAAAAATATTTCAAGACAACCAGTCAATTTTCCAACCCACTGAAGCAAGATTAGTGATTTGGAAAAAACCTTCGTCGAAGTTGTATTTTGAGATGATAGTTTTTAATCCAAACATTGAAAATGGAGAGTAACTTTAGATTCGTGTGTATTTCAATTTTATTTTCCTTTTTTGTTTTCCACAGAAGTACCACAGATCGTTATCCACAAATTATAGCAGTATCAACCGTGATTCGAACGACTACAAAAAACTTCAAAAAAATCTTAAAATCGAGCAAAAACGGGTTTGAAATTTTTTAGTTTCAGTCTACTGAAGGCTGAAAAAATTTTAGATTAAAAAAAATGGATTTTCTATAACGATAATTTTTTAGCGCTAACTAGACAAAAAAAATTCCAAAAAGATAAACCAAAATTTTGTGAGGCAAAAGTTTTGAAAAATATTAATTTTTGACCTTTTTTTTTTGATTTTTTGGATGTATTTTCTGTTCTATCGTGTCATCTCTTAAAACTAAGCAACCAGACATCAAAATTTTCTCAAAAGGTGTATTAAAGATTTTAAGAGTTGGAATTAAATCTCTGATGAGACTATTGATTCAGAGGCTATATTTTGTGCAGCAAAAGTAATTAGAAATGGAAATAGCACATCCAAAAAGTTTGAAACACTATTTCAGATTTTGGGGAAAAAACCAGAAGATAAGAATACCTATTATGCTAAGTTTTTTAAAGATTCTTTTTTGCTCCTGCCAAAAAACGGCAGGGAATGCAAATTTTCAAAAGGGCAGGGACTGCATGTCACATCTCAGAACAATATAAAAACTTTTATTAAAACTTCCACACAAAATTGAAAAAAACTACAAATATCAAAAAAAATAAAGATCGAATGGTTATCAAGGCTTGGATTAAACGACATTTAAAAACAGGCTAGCTATTATTCTGATGGTGATCGATGTTATTGTTAAAAAGTCTTTCATTCTACTTTTGATTGTTCAGTGACCTCATTTGGACAAATTTTATTAAAACTACGAAAAGATTGGAAGCACCAGATATTTCAACAAAACTACCAACTTTTTTAGCCCATGAAAAAACGAATTGCAGAAAAACTTGATTAAAACAAAGAACCTAATAATATACTAAGCTGAACTCTAACAGACTTTTTATCTATATTTTTAATTTAAGCAAACACATCAATTTTCAACCAATTAGTCTGTTGTGGATGTTATTACAAAATTTACGGCCTACACTTTGTTCAATTTACAGAATTCACTTTTGTTCACTCTCTTTTTACGATACGAAGAAGCATCCAAAACTTAATTTTTAGCACTTAACTCAAAACTTAATTTATGAGAGAAATCGGAATTACGTCTACAGATGTCTTCTTTGGATTTTGCTGATACAAGTATGAGTGTTTATTGCTCGTAACTTGAAAAAAAAATTGAAAAAAAAACCGTGTTAGTTCTTCAACTTAGTCTTTTCAAATTGCCCTGGTAATCTACTTTTTTTTGATAAAAATTGAATCAAGCGAAGAGCCAACCTTAAATAATCACATCGAAAATATATTTCAAAAAATGAAAGTCTCCTTTTGACTAAACTTAAGACGATCGCAATAGTGTCAGATGCATTTACAGAATCAAAATTCATCCTAGCTTATTTTGGTCTGAACATGAAGTTGATAAAATAAGGAAAAAATAAAATTTTGATCCAATTTTTGTGTTTAATTGGTACAGAGAGGTGAAGTTGCAACGCATTCGACCCTGCCCAGGTTCGAACTCTCTTATTGAGTTGCGGAACTCCGTTTCTACCTTTACACTACAGATCCATGTTACCTGGCAGCTAAAGTGCTATTTGTGTTAATATAATAGTCTGTTTTAATATTCTTAGCATTGGCTGTACTTAATAGCTGAATATTGATTAAAATGAAAACTTTCAAAATGAACGCATCTTGTCGCAACAATATTTGCGTCTTAGGTTGGAAAAAAAGAGTTCATACTATAACACAAGCTTTGCTTGTGTAATTAGTCTGTTGGGCAGCAATATCCTAAAGTAGATTAAAAATATTAAACACACCCGTAGGTCACAAAACTAGAAAGAAAGACGATACAAACTCACTCAGTCTCATTTCAAGTGCTCTCACTCGATTCGAGTCTTCCATCATTTGACCCCCAGATTGACCAAATTTCCCTCCCATTGCACCCTGATTGAAAGGCACCAGAGCATTGCTTGTACCACTGAATGTACAAGTATGGAAGATGGGTTCATTGTCAAAATTTGATTCAAAATTTAGGGTCGTTTTTGTTTAAACTTGTCCATGATTGAGGAAAGAAAATGCGATTTCCGAAAAAAAGCTTTTTCTTAACATTTTTATTCCCAATTTTTGGCCGAAATAGACCTTTTTTACCAAAAAAAAAACATTAATATCGTTCGCTTAATTCATGTAAGAAAAAGAAGTTCTAAACAGAATTTATATAACGGGTTAGATATACACAAAATTTTAGATTAAAAAAAATGGATTTTCTATAACGATAATTTTTCAGCGCTAACTAGACAAAAAAATTCCAAAAAGATAAACAAAAATTTTGTGAGGCAAAAGTTTTGAAAAATATTAATTTTTGACCTTTTTTTTTTGATTTTTTGGATGTATTTTCTGTTCTATCGTGTCATCTCTTAAAACTAAGCAACCAGACATCAAAATTTTCTCAAAAGGTGTATTAAAGATTTTAAGAGTTGGAATTAAATCTCTGATGAGACTATTGATTCAGAGGCTATATTTTGTGCAGCAAAAGTAATTAGAAATGGAAATAGCACATCCAAAAAGTTTGAAACACTATTTCAGATTTTGGGGAAAAAACCAGAAGATAAGAATACCTATTATGCTAAGTTTTTTAAAGATTCTTTTTTGCTCCTGCCAAAAAACGGCAGGGAATGCAAATTTTCAAAAGGGCAGGGACTGCATGTCACATCTCAGAACAATATAAAAACTTTTATTAAAACTTCCACACAAAATTGAAAAAAACTACAAATATCAAAAAAAATAAAGATCGAATGGTTATCAAGGCTTGGATTAAACGACATTTAAAAACAGGCTAGCTATTATTCTGATGGTGATCGATGTTATTGTTAAAAAGTCTTTCATTCTACTTTTGATTGTTCAGTGACCTCATTTGGACAAATTTTATTAAAACTACGAAAAGATTGGAAGCACCAGATATTTCAACAAAACTACCAACTTTTTTAGCCCATGAAAAAACGAATTGCAGAAAAACTTGATTAAAACAAAGAACCTAATAATATACTAAGCTGAACTCTAACAGACTTTTTATCTATATTTTTAATTTAAGCAAACACATCAATTTTCAACCAATTAGTCTGTTGTGGATGTTATTACAAAATTTACGGCCTACACTTTGTTCAATTTACAGAATTCACTTTTGTTCACTCTCTTTTTACGATACGAAGAAGCATCCAAAACTTAATTTTTAGCACTTAACTCAAAACTTAATTTATGAGAGAAATCGGAATTACGTCTACAGATGTCTTCTTTGGATTTTGCTGATACAAGTATGAGTGTTTATTGCTCGTAACTTGAAAAAAAAATTGAAAAAAAACCGTGTTAGTTCTTCAACTTAGTCTTTTCAAATTGCCCTGGTAATCTACTTTTTTTTGATAAAAATTGAATCAAGCGAAGAGCCAACCTTAAATAATCACATCGAAAATATATTTCAAAAAATGAAAGTCTCCTTTTGACTAAACTTAAGTCGATCGCAATAGTGTCAGATGCATTTACAGAATCAAAATTCATCCTAGCTTATTTTGGTCTGAACATGAAGTTGATAAAATAAGGAAAAAATAAAATTTTGATCCAATTTTTGTGTTTAATTGGTACAGAGAGGTGAAGTTGCAACGCATTCGACCCTGCCCAGGTTCGAACTCTCTTATTGAGTTGCGGAACTCCGTCTCTACCTTTACACTACAGATCCATGTTACCTGGCAGCTAAAGTGCTATTTGTGTTAATATAATAGTCTGTTTTAATATTCTTAGCATTGGCTGTACTTAATAGCTGAATATTGATTAAAATGAAAACTTTCAAAATGAACGCATCTTGTCGCAACAATATTTGCGTCTTAGGTTGGAAAAAAAGAGTTCATACTATAACACAAGCTTTGCTTGTGTAATTAGTCTGTTGGGCAGCAATATCCTAAAGTAGATTAAAAATATTAAACACACCCGTAGGTCACAAAACTAGAAAGAAAGACGATACAAACTCACTCAGTCTCATTTCAAGTGCTCTCACTCGATTCGAGTCTTCCATCATTTGACCCCCAGATTGACCAAATTTCCCTCCCATTGCACCCTGATTGAAAGGCACCAGAGCATTGCTTGTACCACTGAATGTACAAGTATGGAAGATGGGTTCATTGTCAAAATTTGATTCAAAGTTTAGGGTCGTTTTTGTTTTAACTTGTCCATGATAGAGGAAAGAAAATGCGATTCCCGAAAAAAAGCTTTTCATAACATTTTTAGCCCCAATTTTTGGCCGAAATAGACCTTTTTAATATAAAAAAAAACACTATTATCGTTCGCTTAACTCATGCAGAAAAAAGAAGTTCTAAAGCAGAATTAATATAAGGTAGTAAATATACACTAATCTGATTTCGTAAAAAAACGCGTGTGCCGTTCTGAGAACTTTTCCTAATTATTTAAAATTCATGACCCGCGTTTTCTAACATAGTTTTGTTTGGGCTCCATCTATCATACTTGTACCCGCTAGAGTTCATAAATGGGACACTCATTGTAGCTTTATTTCCTCCAAAGTTTACTCCGTAATTTCCTTTGGGTGAGTAAATATTGGGTTCACCCTGACTCGCAAATATCTGGGGGAGTGTGTCGTATTTCGGGTAACTAAGAGACGCCATTGATTTGATTGGAATCAAAAAGTAAAATAAATGGAAATAAAATTTAATCAAATGTTTTTATGATATAATATAAATAATTATTCAAACAGAATTTGAAAAAGGTAAATAAAGCAGTCGCATAAATCGTTGGACTTGGTTGCAAAAAATTAGCAATTTATTTTGATAATAATCATAATAATAATACTTCATATCAGCGAATACGCAATGAATTCAGTTGAAATTTCCGAAAGTATCAGAAGTTCAAAAAATTCAATCAGGCATGTCAGTCAAAATTGAACTCCACTATTTTGGACAAGCAACGAAACTGATATACTTTTTTTCCAGCAAAAAACAGGTATGAGACACGAATAGATTAATTTAAAATCCAGTGTTCTGCATCAAATATAATAAGCAAATAAATGAATATGCTCAAAAAGTATATGCTTACTACAGATGGATTGAGCAAAAACTGTATTGACTGTTCATTTTTTCTGCAGTGCTTTAAACGAAAACAATCAAATATTTATTTGATTTCTTTCACATAAAAACGCACCATTCAAAGCAAAAAACGAGCAAGGTTGGCGTGTGTTATTTGTATATTCGATGTACACTTCAAATATTATAGTTTTGATGATATAAATCTTTCATTAACGAAAACACCAAAACGTTGTATTCAAAACAAACCAACTAAAACGTATATTCACTTAATTTAAGATTGAAAATCATAAACTTCAATTATCGATTTAAAAATTAACATTTTGGTATAAAAAGAAGAAAGAAACAGAAATAATTGTTAAGTGAAATTTTGAGTCACCAATTTAAAAAATCTAAGTATTAATCTTTCATTTCAATTTCTTACTCTCGAAAAAAGTTGTCTCGCTGCTGACATCAATCAATGATAGATCCTTATTAAAATATTATCAATTGATCATTTTGATTTCTATCCCATAAATCTGTGTGGTTGTTACATAATAATAAAGGTTTCATTAAATACACTTGGCTGTCATCAATTATTTGCAACTCTCCGTTCATTAATTCGTTAACTCTTTTTTATCATTTACTAAGATTCCGTTACTTCATTGGTTAATTAGTGCTCAAGTGGTTATCAAGGTTGACTAATCATGGACTTGTCATTGGTGCCCGGCTCTCACGAGTTCTCTTCGTTCACCAATGCGACTCGAGTGACTCCGAGAGAGAAACAGCCGAAGAGTTACATGTTCATACTCGACACTCCAGACCAGTCGGAGCACGAAGGATCAGTCAAGGTGAGATTGATTTTAAAAAAAAAAGAAGAAAAAACAACGTTTAAAAAATTTACAGGAGTCACCGTAACTCGCACTACCCCCCTATCAACCCCAACCCAACCCCCTCCCTCCCTCCCTCTCTCTCTCCCTCCAGAGATCCGCAACAGCACCAGGGAGCTTCTAGCTTTTTTTCGAGGAGGGCGGATTTTCAAAAAAAATCTACAACATTGTTAACCTTTTTTTTAGGTCGATCAAATTGACTTCCTGCGCTCTCCAAAAACACCAAAAATACCGTTTTCAAAAAAGCGGTCGAATTCCTCAGCCCCTTCCCCCTAAATCAGCCCCCTGAACTTAAGAAAGATTTTAGTTTTTTATGCAACTTTTGATCAGCGTTCGCAATTGGCACGATGGGAGAGTCTTGTAATAAATCATTTTGCTTGGCGTGACCTATAAAAGGATTCCAATTTTCACGGCAACTTTTCACGGCGATAAGGCATTTTGGAGAAAGAAAAAAACTTAGTTTGCGGTTAATTGTGTCAGCCAGTGTATGTTTTGTAATTTGCAGGGACGTCTGGAAACGGACCAGAAGGTCTCATGACTATCTATCAGGCTATTGTTTAATGGTTGTAAATGCGGTTTATAACAAGCATTAGTAGTATACTAGCCTGAAAACAATTTATTATTATTATATTAATTTCAGGACTCTGACGCTGACTTGAGCGAGACCCAAAAGCAGGCCCAGCAGATGATCCAGCAGTGGAGTGAGGCCCAGTTCGAGATAGACCAGAGAGACAGGGGCAAAAAGAGGGGGGAGTTGGTGGACAGGTATCACAGACAGTACTTGGAGGCACTGCAGAAACAGGAAGCTAGAGAAGGTGGGAAATATGATTTCATGATATACAAACGGGAAAAAAGACCCCCCTCTCACCTGTAAATTTTTACCAGCCAGACTTTTGTTCGCATAATGCGATTGTTTTTGAAACTTGACGGGATGGCTAATAAGCTTATGACAAACATATTTGCTCTTCATACTAAACCTTGTAAAAACAGTCATACTCATTTACATCATAAAATTGACGCTCATGTGAGGTGAGGGGGGTTCGGAGGAAAAAAATCAAAAACTTTTCAACTGTAAAAACCCAGTTTGAAATGTAATTCACGACAACCAGCATCACCAGGAGTTTAATTTAAAGGTAGGCCTGAATATCAGTCCGTAACATTTTGTTCTTCTTCATAAAAACTTCAGACTACATATCGTATCAAACGACGACTCATAATTCGGCTTGTTACAAACTGTTGAATCCGCTGGGAAGTTTTTTTATTGCAAGCTTCAAAGCATATACCGTCCAATACATCAAGCTGGGTAACATGAATGAAAAAGACTTCTCGAACGACACTTCATGTACCTTGGATGCATCTAAAGTTTGAAACGCCTTGATTTTGATATATGAAAAGTTTAAACTCATTTTGAAACGCTTATTTGGGAAAACACACCGGAAAACGCAAAAAAAAACATTAATAAGGGTATTTTTGGAAAACTTTGACTCTGCGGGAGTCAAAACTACAGCGATAGATAATTCCGGCAGCCTTCCTCTGGATGCTTCCATCCAGACGTTACTTGTAACTGATTCATTTGATTGTCGTTTTTATTTTAGCCATCAATCCCGTCATTGAATGCGAACATTGCGTGGAAGAGCTCAAATCCGACAGGCCGAAAGAGTACTTAGCCGACTACTTGGACATGATCAAACAGGACAACGCAGGAACTAAGAGCCAATCAGAGAAGAGCAAAGCGGAGGATGTGAAATCATTAGATGAGATCACGTGTCATATGCAGGCTACAATTGAGGAACATGAAGACAAGTTGAGGCAGCTGGAACAAAGGCTGAAGGAACTCAGTGCTGGGTATTTTTTCAGCTCTCTCAACAAAATTTTGCGCTTAAATCCATAGTAGTTTTGCGTTTAAATCCAGAAGAGTAAAATTATGTCATAATTATGTCAGAAGAGTAAACTATAATTATGTCACATCTTTAACCAATTTAGTTTCAATTGTTGTTACTCATTTGAGCTAGCTTAATTTTTTGACCCGTAAGTAACAAACACAGATAAATCGCATTGGATCGAACCGTTTTTGATTCTTTCGTACAAGTTTGTTTGACCCTTGTTAACCTTTTTTTTTCTTGTTTTAGGCGGGATCAATCGTACGAAATTGAGCAGGTATTTATTTTCAACCACTATATTGAATTTCTGATTAATTTTTTTGCGAATTTTATCATCACAACTAAACCATGTTTTTAGAATCTAGGTGCTGAAAATGCTACGTTTGACGTCAGCAACAGCTACTCGTCTCTTTCGAAAGTGAATTCCCAGAAATATGGACCATCATCCCGGTCCAATCAACTGTCAAAAGGCATCAATTTATTTCATGAGTCGGATGTACTAAAAATTTTCTAATGAAGGTTCTTTACTATGTTTCAAAAACAGCAACCTTGAACAAAAAATTTGTTCTATAATAGAAACATTTAACTGACCTCCCGCAATTTTCAATACCAAAACTTTTGCTTTGTACAGATGTGTATACGAGAGCAAATTTTTTGGCCAAAAACTAAATTGATGTCATGAAAAGGTCCTACTAACTTCCAACACATCTCAGCAGAAAGCCAACAGGGGTTATCACTTGACCTTGAAAAAGGGGAGGAGTCAAACAGGTTCTTGGTGACAGATGATTGGCTGAAATTTGGGGTCGCAGATACAGAAGAACAACAACTAGAAATTGACGAGAGGGACTTTCGAGGTATGAGATCAGTTTTCTAGTAGCTTTTCATTTTGCTCTTAATATTTTAGACAAATAATTTAAGAATTGAATTGCGCTTGTTGAAATAAAACTCGACTTAATTTAGCAACGACGAAAAGACATGGTTGTACATCGAGGACTTTGCTACTTCATTCATAAAAATGAACCTCTCGTCAAGGGCTTAAGTGTTCATGCCTGAAAAACCCAACAATTTTTCTGCAGGAGAATTCAGTGCCAATATACACCTTATTATCAGAAGCTGACAAACGCATTACTTACAAAAAACTCATGTACCTGTGTCTGAAAAGTTCGCATTTAGGCTAAATATTGATTGGATGCGCGCGAATTTAAAACGAAATTACGCTAAAACTACTGGGTCAATACTGACAAAACTATGGCAAAGTGAGCGTTTACTTATCTCCTTATCTCAACAAAAGTTAAGATGGGTATAATCTACAAAAAACTAGTACTACTACTACTACTAAATTACTTTCATTTTGATAGACAAAACATGTCATTTTTACTACATATAAAACACCAATTTACATTCGCGAACAATTTTTAAACGTTTAGCCTAACTTGTTTTGGAGAGTGTACCCTTCTTTATATTTGTTGGGCCACTTAAGAGGCTCACCTTGACATAGTTTTATTGATAATTGAAACCGTAATTTTATCGTAATTTTTGATTGACTTAAACAAGCCAAAAATGATCCATTTTTGAGGTAAAATTTGGAGCCCGATATTCACCATATTATTTCCGTTAAAAGTCTAAACAAGTTCGTTTTCATCATTTTTCACCAAAGTCAACCCAATTTGAGAAAAACACGTTTTAAATATCAAGTTTAATACTTTTTGTCCGAATAATTTTAAACCATCATTGTTATGTCCCCTCCTATTGTGATTGCCATGAGCTGGCGGGAATGCGCAACTAATCTCTTTTAACTTCTCTTATACAGTCATTAAAACATCAGGTTTTATATCGACATCAAAATGACTTTTATTTTCTATTGCAACTCGAATAACGACTGATTGAAAAAACTATAGAACTATTTATAATTCGAAATCATCGTACCTTGATTAGTGGTACCGGTATTTGTGATCAATTAATAGTTATTATTCCGATCAACAAAGGCGTGTAGAATTTTGACTTCCGCTGTGAATTTTTCGGATTCGCAACTTCCTTAAATTAATAAGCTTAATTGGTGGCTTGCGTCAATATATTTCAAAAATGAAAATTTCACTTCAAACAGACATTCTCGTGACTTTCTAAATTTGTTTATAGCAGCTCGGATCACAGATGCAATAACTTCAATATCATATTAAATTCAACCAATTCACGTTGATTGTTCAATCACGGAGACCGATGACCTTTTCTAAATTTCCGTTCGTTTAATAGAAAAAAATCACAAGCTCTAACAATTTCAAAAAAGTCTTAATTGGCATTTTCTTTTGAAACTCAACCGTTTAAGTCGTGATTCAGACTCCAAAAAACTTTGAAAGCTTGACGCTTAAGACTTGTAAAAAATTTTAAAGTCGATGAATGCAGGGCATAATGATTTTTTGTGATGATTTTTCCCTATGATTATTTAGGTCGAAAGAATTTGTGCATTCTCAAATTATCTTTTTCGCTGTTTGGCTTTTGATTTATTTTCAAGTTCAGTTCATTTCCTTTGTTTAAACGAACGCAAGCTCTACAGCGAAAGTCAACAGCAAAATTCAAAAAGTCACGAAAAACGCTATCGACTTCTAAATTCGAAAATCATTTTTAATTACCAGCGAAATAAAAAAAATACCTATAGAGCCAATTTTTTTTTTCAAATTTGGTTTAATTAATCAAAAAAGTGTCAATCATAAATGGTTCTAGAAATTCGAAGATCTTTGAGGCCATCTATTTTTCTCTGTGAAATTCCATATTCCATAGTTGATTTTTTTTCGAAAACCAGTCACTCTTTCTTTTCTGCTTACTTGTGCTCATTGACTCTTTTTCAACTGTCGAATGGCTATGTTTAAGCTCTTATTGATTGACCAACCAAACAATAACGCAAATAGAAAGAAATATGATTTAATTTTTTTTTTAATCTTCGGCTCTTTTTGTTAAAGGGCGAATGGATCAGTTTAAACAACTGCGAAATTTAAATTAATAAGAGCTTAAACATAGCCATTGTACAGTTGGAATTCGCAGTTATTTAACCTGGTCCATTCGCCCTTTAACAAAAAGAGCCAAAGATTTAGAAAAAAAATCATATACTTGAATCATTTTTCTATTTGCGTTATTGTTTGGTTGGTTTTCTACGCCCCAACTGAACTGTCGAACTATTCTACCACACATGCACAGTAACAAACTATTCTAATTGTTCCGACTTTCGATACGAAAGTAACGGAATATTTATGCTCGGGGTGAGTTTTTTTTTCTTCAGACAAATTTCGACTTTTTAACTAGCCATTTTTTACGGATTTTTTTTTATATCATTCGAAAGGTATAGTTGTCCTGAGCTTAAATTTGAAAAGATATTTCACTTGTGATCTTTTTTCGGAAAGTTATGAGGGTTTAAAATTGGTCAAAATGGCAAATTAACGCGCAATATAATTCGCGCTATTAACGCGTAAGCGGAGATTTAATCCGTCTTAGAAATCGTTCCAAATTGGTTGAAAGAAGCTTTTTTGCCATAATTGATTTGTTACAAGGAGCGAAATCTATTGTTTTGTACTTAACATGGCGTGTGGGGGGAAGATTTTCATTTAAAAAAATTTGAATTTAAAAAAAAAAATTTCATTTTGTTTTTTTTTATTTCATTTAATTTTTTTAAAATGTTATTACTGTTCCATAAACATTAAAAGGCGGTCGGAACATTCAGGGCTTCGCCCTGGTACGAGCAGTCTTGTTTTATTTCATATCATTTCGAAACATGATTTTACTCAGACAAAAAGCCAGCATAAAAATAGAGACGTTTGTGTTACGTTCTATAAAGACTCTTACTTTTAAACGTACCAACTCTAAGACTTGAATTTGGAAAAATTTCCTGATCGGAATTTTGCAAATTCGATTTTTCAAGTCTCAGCTTGCTTACCGTTGTTTCAGTGAAAAATTTAAGTGAAATTATGTCACCCGTCGGAATTTTTTCATTTTTAGCCACTTGGAAAAATACCTATTTCAGACAAGCATTTTTACGCCACTTGAAACAGACGAACAAAACTTCTGTGTATGGGTTCATGTACGTAGCAATAGTAAACAAAAATTATGCAAATAAATTTTAATTTCAACAGCAACCATAATTTAATTCTTTTTTTTACATAAAATAAACCCATTTGTACATTTATTCAAGGCAGTCTAAACTACTAAGATAGTATCACCTCAAGTTCCTACGAAAGCTTTATATGATAGGTTGAGTTTAAGAAGGTTCAGTCAAGTTCAGAAGCCATTTTTAGACTTTTGATAGAAAACTCCTTCCCTTTTCAGCCGAACGGAACAAAATGAATATACATGCATAACAGCAGTAAACGTGTAATTCATTCTCAGTAACCAATGACGGACGAATATACAATAAATTTCCAATTTAAAAATAACAAATTTGATACTTGATACTTTGTTGAGAAATTAAGCTGAATTAAGGCTATTTCTTTTCATGATCAGCTGTTTTTATGATAGAATTTTGATGCACATTTTAGTGAGAGATGAAAGTGAATGCAAAAATTTTATCGATCCAATGCACTCAAAATAGTCAGAATATATAAGAAAATATTGATAATGTCGAGATAGAGATTGATAGCGGCGAAAATATACTCTTCTGGACTCAAACTGTATCGGTGTTTTCCGCCGATCATCATTTGGGTATCGATTACCAAATAAGCAGAAAATACCAACGCTCCCAAGGATCCATACACCGCTGTTAGTATGTCATTCGGGAAAATAATTGCTATAATTCCGAACACTATAAGACAAATAAGTACAACGAACATAAGCCCACTGTAGATTGTGAAGTCGATTTTGGTCTGAAACGCGAAAATAGTCAGCGAGACCGCTACTATTGCCGTCACTGTTATAGCAACGAGGACAATTTTAGTGTCGTATTGACTGGAAATAACCCCGAGGAGAAAACTTTCGCATAACGTGAACAAGCCGAGAAGTATAAAATTAGTCGGCGTTTGTCGTCTCAAGCTCTCGAAGCATACTAGCGCGATAAGAAGAACGAATGTAAGAATCATCGCAACTATAAGCATCCATGGTTGATCTTCGACGTACAAGCGAATGTCGTCGACAAAAACGAAAAGAGCTATGAAGCCTAAAGTTACTAGAAGTTGAACTGACAATATTGCATAGACTTTTCTGATAAATCCATGACGAATTGAAATTTCGTCGAAACTGAATTGACCGTCAATGAGAGGCGATTCGCTATCGTACATTATTAATCTGCCAGAAATGTAACTCTTTGCAAAGGAAAGTGAGAAGAAAACTAAACTACATTCGATCTGAAAAACAGAAGATATGGTTAACTTCGTAATATTAATTAGATCAGACAACACTAAAAAAGAAACACATGGTCCACCATCTTTATTTCAGTCAAATCAAAGATGTCAAATTGATTCAGACAGCTAAAAGTTCATCTGAAGAACTATTACTTTGGAGCTTTTGTTCGCAATAAAACTCAACCATCAGTTTGAACACAGTTACGGAACATTATGTAGCAAACACAAGCATGAAACGACAAAAAGAAGAAAAAAACGGCAAAAAAAGGAAATTGCGAACATAACAGAAAAATGCATCGAAAAAACCAACTTAGAAGATCAATTTTAAAAAACGGACCTTAGTTGACGAAGCGACTCAATTCACTGAGAACAATAAAATCGGCTCGGAAACAACAATTTTTTTATTCGACAGAATTGATCACTCTCAGCTTAGCCATTAGGTCTCCAGATTACCGTTTTTTTTGTGAAACTGATAAAAAAACAAGAAATAAATTTGTCAGCTTAATCTGAACTGGGTTTTGAAAAAGCTTAACTTCATCTACACTATTTAACGCAGATATCCTGATAAAAACGGCAACCATAACTGCTATAAATGCTATTTCTGCTACTTATAAGGTCAATTTTTTGTCTTTCTCAGGAATTGTCTACCTAATACCTACATTTCTGAGAAATGAAAACTCACATGTGATGCTTTTCGGATATTTCTAAGAAAACGTATGCCAGTAAGCAACGTATTTTACCATGTACGATTGAGACATGCCTCGTGCGAAGCTTACATTATTCTACTTTGTGTTATTCGAATAACACATAAAGTAGAATAATGTAAGCTGGATGTAAGCTTCGCACGAGAAAAAAGTACCCCATGAAGCTCCAGTGGAGAACACTTGCAACTACAAAGAAAATTCCTTACAGCACCAGCAAAATCCGTGATATGACAACTTAACGTATAAAATTTGAGCAGACAAAGGAAAGACTGTCAATGTAATTTTTACCGAAAAAAATTAAATTGAATACATACTGAAGAAAGCAAGGTCCGACCGGGATACAAACCCCACACCTTAGGGTGCAAAGGCGACGGCGTTACTCCTAGGCCAAGAGGGAAGGAACCTGGAGTTTTGCGGAAAGTGTTGAATGGATCTTGATTCGGACCCAGATGGACCGGAAATGGCTGTTCCACTGAAAAGCGTCCATCCTCCAGAACAGGACCTCTCAACATCACAACAAAACACGAGAACCATTCAGACAAGTCCAGTGTTAAAACGACGTTCAAGTAACCCATCCTACCTCTCCCGTCGGGGACCGATAACATGGAATAGGGATGAAACGAAACCATCAAACAAGACCGAAACAAACTAACACAATGTCGTCCAGAGTCAGCGAGGCTACTATAACAACAAGGAGCCTGGAAGTTGTAAAGGTTCAATAAAAAAGCAAGTGAAAAATTGATAAAATTGTGCACAGAAAAACAAATCTACTCCCTGATTACATAACACTTGCTCTCGCAAGTGTAATCAGGTATACAAAACACAGCCAACTGACAGTTGGAAAAAGTAATGAACGCAAGTAAAAGTCAATCTCAACTTTCCAAGAAAAAAAATAGATGCATTATAAGCTCTTTTGAACTTTAAGAACAATTTATGATTGGCGCTTTTTTGATAACATTAACCCAACTTGAGACAACTGGATCAATAGGTAAAATTTTTATTCCTCTGGAAATCTAAAAATTAAATTCCACTCTCCATACTAGAAAATGTTCACGTTTTTTCGCGCTATTTCCACTTTCGAATTTGAGAGTGCTATTTACGTAACTTTCAGCAGATGAATTTCAATTGAACTCAAAAAGTGCATAAAAACCTAAGTGCATTCATTAATGCATTATTATGTACGAATGCACATCTGTAGTGATTAGAGCATTTTAAAACTTTTTCCTGAAAAAAAACATCACCAAGACCCATATTAGTCTTCACTACGTTCATTACACTTAACACGAATGAGAAGTAACAACAACCAAATAAAAAAAAAATCGCAGTTAAGATTGCGAATAGTAGAATTCAGTTTTTCACAAAGTTTAGACTCCCAAAGTCCGACTAAAGGTAAAAGCTCGGGCCAATTTCTCTTGACACAGAAAACTTTTTCAATAGTCAATGAACGTATTCCATACTCTTATGTAGGTCTTGATGATTTTCATGGTAATGTTTTTCAGAAGTCTTCAGTTTGTTCAGGCTCAAATTTGTTTTTTCGCGTGAGTTTTGATTTCTTTTTAAGTTCAGTTTTTTTTTCTTTTTTAAAAGGAAGGCAAACTCCACTATCAAACAGCAAAAGTGTAAGGGTCACGAAAAACGTCATCGACCTTTAATTTCGAAAATGGAATTTAATCATCAGATTTCTCAGCGAAATAAAAAAATTACCTACGGATCCAGCATTCTCAAATTTTTACAAAAAAAAGGTCAATCATAAATTGTTCTAGAAAGTCATAGAGCTTTAAACCTTTTTCTTCGAATTTTGAAAGTTCAATGACTCTTCTGTAACTGTCTGTTGGCTATGCTCTGAGGTACAAGTCACGGCTGAAAAGGCTTTGTAAAATATTAATCATTACCCATTAAGAACATTGTTTGAGGTAGTCGAAATTGGGCAAAAACAATAGTTTTTTCTCACCCCTCGAAGTGGGCTGGATCTGAACAAGAACCTGTTTATAAGCGTAAAAAATAATTTTTGAGTTCGCTTCAAAAATTGGCTGTACACCTTTTTCACTTATGTATTATATATGCAAATGCGGGCTGCACTATCTCGCCATGTTTAAGCTTTTTCAACGTTTTATTTTTGCATGTTTAACGAAAGAATTTTTGCACGTTTAAGCTATATCGCATATTGCAATGGTTAAGGTTTTTTCGATTTTCCATTTTCAATTAAGTGCTTATTTCACCGAGTTTAAAATCAGAAGCCCAATAGTGGGATGCTGTCATAGGGCTGTCAATTATGAATGCCCAAATCTTTTTAGTTTTCGATATACGACCATTTTTAAAGATTTTTCAGAAAGTTTTCAGAGAACTCAAATTAAAAAGTAATTCACAAAATTTGAGGATTGCGATTCTTGCCTTCAAATATGGCTGCTTAATTCTTTGTAGTTTTCGAGATATGACCTGTTTCATGATTTTTTAAAAAAATTTTCAAACACTTAATTTAAAAAAAATCATTGCCTTCAATAATGGCTGCTCAATTCCTTGTATTTTTCGAGATATGTGTTTCATGATTTTATAAAAAATTTTCAGAACACTTAATTTTTAAAAAATCAAAGAATTTGAAATTCCCAACCTTGTAGTTGGGTTCTGTGAGGGTACTCTCAGCAGTTCTAAGTAGCAAATTTTGCGTCCAAATGCGATTGCTCGAATACTCTTAGTTTCGGAGAGGTGACGTTTGTTAGCTCATTTTTTTTAATAATCGAAAAATTTAAATATAAAAATTATCAGAAAACTCGAAGTTCTCAGCTTTAATGTGAGGGACTCGCGGGGGTTGCGAACTTTGCCCCCAAATGTGACTGCTCGAATTTTTGTAGTTTTCGAGATATGAAGTTTTTTGTGATTTTTAAAAGTAAACTTAAATTTAAAACTATTTTTCAATATTTGAAATTCCGAACCCTGATTTAGAATGTCAAAAATTAGAAGTACTGGAGGTGCGTTACGCGCTAGTCTATATTGATTTCCTAGAAAAAAAAATGTTTAGATGCTGATATCGATGAAGAAATCCCTCGACTGAGAAATGTCTTTCTGTCCAAATTAGTTTGGGACGACGATGGAGACCTCGCTAAACGTGTGGACCGACAGTTGATTCAATACCAGCGCATGGCATACAAGCCCAGAAACAGATGGTCTCACAAAATCACCGTCCCGCAGCCATTCGAAATGACAATTAGAGAGTATACGAGACCTAAGAGTGAATCATACTCTTCGAAGAGGATTGCAAAACTTCTAGAAGAACGGTATTGTAATTCAATCATTCCTGTAATATACGGTTCCATAATAATTTTAATGTGACATCCTAAATGGAGATGTCAAGTCGAATGAATCGGTGCTATATACTGAGCGAGTATCTTCTTATTCGCTCCAAGAACTCTATCGAAAACCGGATTTCTTTCGATTTCGAAGCCTAAATGTGAACTCAGAAATGTTTCAGAAAAGAAGAAGAAAGAAGCCTAGGAGTTAAGGCATTAGAAATTCCAAAAAGCACTACTCAGCCAAAATTTCAACGAATCATGAGCCAGAAGAAGAAGCGAAGCATTGAGGTATCAGTAAAGTGATAACAAAAATACAATTTTTAACATACACATTTTAAATTAGAACAAACAGTAATGTTTTTCACATTGATGAGAAAGAAAGTAAAACAAACAGTAGCTTGAAAGGCTTAAAAGAAAACATTTAGCTTCGTATAAAAAATTGAGAACATCTACATGTAATGGGTGAACTTTTATATCTGCCCAGCCCAATCTCAATTGGAAAAATTCAACTATTTTAGATAAGGGAGAAGAGTCGAGAGAACTTGATACGCGACCAGAGACCATTCTCATTCTACAACCGATCAGAATATTCAAAATCTGCTGACTGCTCGAACAGACATTGCAAATGTTTAGAGCCTGCGGATGATTCATACCTGTAAAAAGTCACATTTACTAATTTACCTTTTATCTTTGGAAAATTTTTTGACAGAGGCGAAATTAACAAATAAGCAATAAGAAAATTTAACAGTCGTCCGCTTACGTCACATATGAGGTAAAGAGAAATAGGCCCTATAACCATTGGCTCAAGGGTCAGGGACACTACCTCTTGTGTTTTTGTACCTCATTCTGTCGGACCCGATTCGGTTCGCTTAAGACATTGACTTCAAAATCGTGTTAGAGCTTAAAGGCTACTACCAGAAAAGAAGAAGAAATAAGTCTAGGAGTTAAGGCAGTAGAAATTCCAAAAAGCACTACTCAGCCAAAATTTCAACGAAACATGAGCCAGAAGAAGAAGCGAAGCATTGAGGTATCAGTAAAGTGATAACAAAAATACAATTTTTAACATACACATTAAAATACACTGCCTTCCTTAGACAAAGAATATCAGTTTGCATACAGATGTCTAACGCAGCATGTGTCATCGGAACTCTACGCCCTCAAGCTTCTCTCGATGAAGTTTTTATGATCCTCTAATTCTCTGTCACCTTGTATCTCACTTTCTGCGAATTTCTTATCTTGCCATTGCCAACATCCGGCCTTTTTATCTGATAGATTTCCCATATGGTGCTCTCTTTCACTCCCGGTGCTATCTTGGTTTCATGCTTCAGTTGTTGTTTTGCTATTTGAAATAAATTTTTAAAGAAACTACCAAAATAACCCCACACTAGAATTAAGCACGTCCCCATGGGTAAGTCTCTATATACCAAAAACACGTGAACGCCGTTAAAAAACAGGGTCGGAACCATTAGTTTTTTTTTTACAGTGGGACTTTTGATCCATTTCAGGTGGATCAGCCTAAAACCCGCCTTATCTCACATAACTCTATAAAGTACACTCTAGAAATTAAATTCAGTACTCACATATTGACTACGGTTCTGGAAGGAAAATTAACTGTGGACGGTATCAGAAACCAACAGATACAGGTGCCATGACATATTTTAGAAGTTGCTCCTCGCGTCAGTACGAAGGACGTGTGATCGAAGGATTTGTTAATCTGGTTTTCCGCAGTAGAAGGGAGCTGACACTAAGGCTATAGTTTCAGAATCGAAAAATTTTGATTAAAACAAATATATTGAGTTAACTTAGACGTTAGCATGAAGGTAGCAACAAAACAAAATTATAATAACAAAAAAGTTGGAGACTCTGAGAAATTTGTGGCTAAATAATTAAAATTGCTACATAAAATTTGTTACATAAATTTAGCAATTATTGAATTTGTGATTAGTTAAATTTTTAAGTTTTAAAAAAATTACGTGTACACCACATTTCATGATCTCTGATCATTTTGGAGAGATAGTTTAGATTTTTAAAACCTGAAGATGCACAAACACGTGCGAAAACGTTTGTTTGAAAATTTAGTTTAACGCATTCTCGAATGTAACTAAGATAACTCAAGCTGTTTTTCCGTTTTGGCCATTAGGTCGCTTCACTGGTCGACCTGCCGATGCGATTATAACGCTGCAATTGCGATTATTGGCCCTGCGATTGTTGCTTCGGCGTTTGTTTCTTTTTCAACTTTTTAAATATAATCAGAAGTATGATAGATAACCAAAAGTATCATAGTAACCGAGGTTACAGTGAGGAGTCCCTTCTTCACGTATTCCAGTCAAAATCCTTGGAATTTTCTTGATATGGAAGTGATAATGATGAAAGAAGATGACAAGTGTTGATGTTCTTACAATAAAAACCGATACGGGTTACGTTTCAACTTAGCGATTATCTTATGATCATTTTGATTTATTGATAAAAATTAATAATATGTGCCAGTCGGTCATATTTGGAAGTTTGACCTTGAGAGAAGCAAAAAGCACTTGAATTTGGAGTGAAGTTTAATTTTTCAAAAATTCGAATGGAGCCTGTCATGCACGATTTTCTCGCGATAACTGAAAGTCAGAAAAAGAGAAATCAGAACAATCGAGTAACAATCGCGGGAAAGTTGTCAGATAAAAACAAGTGGGAAATTGCAATTTGCAATTTCCATCATAGTGAACAAGAGTAGAGCTGTCCTATCTGAAATAGAAGACAGAGTATTTCCGCGAGAACAATTATTCGAACTGGACCAGAGTGAACCTTCGACGGAAAAGTGGACAGCTTGAGTGTCCCAATGGTTCACATAAAACTTCATTCTAGAGTTCAAACTTACCTCTGCCATTCGAACTGATAAACATTGAACTTATCTAGTTATCTTAATAAATTCTAGAGTTGCTCACCCATTTAATTACCTCCTGTGCTTGAGCGCATCAACATGTGAGTCCTTAATTTAAGTTTCTAGTGTGTTTTATGATTGTTATGTTGAGGTAAGGCGAGTTTTAGGTTGATCCATCTGAAATGGATCAAAGTTCCACTGGCTAATAAAAAGTAACTTAACGGATTGTTCCGACCCGGTTTTTAACGGCGTTCATGTATTTTGGGTATCTAGAGACCTAAGTATGGGGACGTTCCTAATTCTAGAGTGGGGGGATATTTTAGTAGTAGCCTTTAAGCTGTAACGGGTCGTAGTCTCATGTCACAAACGAACCGAATTGGCTCCGACTGATTTGAGGTAGAAAAACACAAGAGATAGTGTCCCTGACTCTTGAGCCAATGGTTATAGGGCCTATTTTTCTTAAGCCTCATGTGTGACTGCAGTAGACGAATGTTACAATATTTAGTTTCACATTTACGAATATTATCTTTTATATTCGTTGTGATGTCTTCTTCGGATAGCGGCACCGATTTGGAAGTAGGTGCGAGTACCTGTCAGCTAATAGAAAGCGATTGGCGTGTTTTTAAGTGCAAAAAAAACGATGTCAAAATGCAATTCGTGCAGAGTTTGTCAACGGCCAGCAGACAAATAGCCAGAAATGCATACGTTGTCAAAACATTGTAACATCATCAAATCGTGGGACGACAAATATGGAGCAACACAAGAAGGCTTGCGTTACACGAAGTCAAAGTGAAACTGATCAGCCGAACATAACATCTGTTTTAGCTTGTAACAGTCGCCTACTTAAGTCACATATGAGGTTAAAGAAAAATAGGCCCGATAACTATTGGCTCAAGAGACAGGGACACTATCTCTTGTGTTTTTCTACCTCAAGCGGTCGGAGCCAATTCGTTTCACTTGCGACACGAGACTACAAACCTTGTTACAGCTTAAAGGCTACTACCAAAATACCCCCCGCTCTAAAAAATAAGAACGCCCCCATTCTCAGGTCTCAAAATACCTAAAACACGCGAACGCCGTTAAAAACAGGGTCGGAACAGTTAAATTTAAATTGGGTACCTACATACTGACACGACCTTTAGAATTGAGTAACTAAATTATAAAGTAACTCTAGAATTAATCCGGTAATCAAGTTTAACCCAAAAGTTTGAAATGAACAAGTTCTAACCAAAGACACAAGTTTTCTATTTGGTTGTACCGTGATAGCTTTTTAAGAAAACTCGAGAAAACTTCCTGGTACGCTCTCCGAACGAGGCTTAGCTAACCGAGTAAAGGGGGGCAACTAGGGGGACAAAAACACGAGCAAAAAGACAAAAAGCAAAACAAAAACCAAAAAAGAATAGAAAAAGGAACAAAAACCATAAACCGAAAAAAGACAGTGACTTTGACACCAGATTAGTTGGATCAAACCTTTATATTAATTAAATAGTATACCCATACTGTTTTATAAGTTCGATCGTTTCGATCAACCTAGTAATTTAACCCAGTAACCTTAATAAAGAGCCCGAGTGTGGGGCGTTGTCAAGGGTTTTCAGATAGCTTGGAACTTAGCTGGACAACAAGGAGACTCGTCTAGAAGAGGTGACCGGCCGAGTGGGAAAGTGGTTCAGGAGCACTTGAGCTGAACCAATAGGAGACTCGACTGGAAGAGGTGACCGGCCGAGTGGGAAAGTGGTTCAGGAACACTTGAGCTGAACCAATAGGAGACTGGACTGGAACAGGTGACCAGTCGAGTGGGAAAGCAGCCAAGAAGGATTTGGCAGATCTTGAGTTCGCAAGTTGGGCAGAACGGGTATCGTTAAAATCCAAATTACATTATAGGAGATAAGTGTAAAATTGGATAAGCGAAATCCCCCGGTTTTGAGGAACATTTTTACTTAAGCAGGCCTGGAAACAGGTCTACGGTTTTCTCTTGAGAGGTTTAGCACCCGGCGCTTAAGGTAATTTTTAGGCTTAAGAAAGGGGGCTAGAAAGGGGGGGAGGTTAGAAGGGGGGCTGGTTAGGTTAGAGGTTGGCGGCTGTAAATTGTAAAAAGGGGGGAAATTAGAGTGACTAATTAGTCGACATCGTTGATTTAGTTACATTAGTCATTAACACGCGTTGGTAATAAAAAGTGGATATCGAAATTTGAACTTGAGTTAAGGGAGGTACCCTGGTCGGATTGGTAGGGGGGAACGGACGTAGACAATTCTGGTGATACCCAATAAGATTATTAGTTGGGGGGAGGAAAACGCGTGGCAATTAGGTACCAGACAAATTTTTTTTTTTTTCGACAAAAGGTAGACATTGGTCACCTTTGAATTTTAGGTGGGCTCATCTTTCCGTTTTTATTATTTTTTCCTAGCTTGGATTTTTGTTGCATTTTGGTGAGGATTTGTGTTTAGTTTTTATACGAACATGTGATCACAAGATACCTGCGCACAGGTTTTGGTCTCAAGTTGCTTGGAACATTGAAAGAGAGGTAATTAAAAAGAAATAAGAAAAAGGGGGGGTCAGCATTTGGCTTTTAAGAGAGGGCTTTTGGGAAAATTTTACTAGAGCTTGAGTGGTGGCACGAGGTACAGTGAATCAAGAAGTCCCCATAACGAAGAAGAAAGAGGTCCCACCGCTCAGACACTTGTCAACAGTCTTGGGACAGTGCCAAAGAAGTCTTGGGACAGAGCAGTATGGGGACAGTCTTGGGACAGTGCAGTCCTGGGACAGTGTTGGACCAGAACAGTCTTGATACAGTCTTGGGACAGTGGTCTTGGGACAGTGGTCTTGGGACAGTGG